AAAAATGTACTCATGGAACCTACAGGGTGTTATTGTAAACTAATGTCACCTTGATAAAAGAAATTATAAATTTGTGAAATCTCATGACACAGAAAAGTATGGAAAGGTATATAATTTACACTCAGACCTAAAAACATTACCTACCATTTTGCTTTTCGTGTGTGTATTTGCCTGGAATTATTTTTCCCCTCAAGCAAATACAACATCACAGATATGGCAGCCCCGTCCCTCTTGTCTGTCAATGCTGCACACAGTGCACTGTGGTACAACTGTCTGCATCTCAGCTGGTCTCCTACAGTGTTTATATTACACGGCATTGAAATTCTCCACAAGCACTAGCCCGTTTGTGTCATTCTTACAGACTCCCTAGGAGGCGGGCACTGAATGTCATTCCCTAGTGGAACTGAGACACAGCGGACAAGAAATTGTCCAAAGTCAGATTGTTAGAAAATAGCAGTGTCAGGTATGAACACAACTATCTAGCTCCTGAGTTGGCCTTCACCCCCTACTGCATTGCCTTGAGCTGGACCAGGCTCCTTGAGGGGTTCTGATCAATGCAACCTAGTGAGGATTTCCAGTCACAAATATTTGTCCCAGACAACCACAATGTGGCGTAACAAGGTCCATACCTGAAGTGAAAGGATGTGCATGGCTGGCTGGTAGGGCTTGGTCTAGGGATGCTGATCTGGAGAAGGTGCCACTTGTGAGGAATATTGGAGAGTGAGAAAGACTAAGGAATAGGGATGGCATCTGGAGGGTAATCTATGAGCAGGGGAGGGGCAATGTCATTCTGGGGTACAGAGATGGACTGGGAGGGGCAACTGGGGCAACTGGCAGTGGCGGGTAGGGGGAGGAGGCTGGGACCTGGGGTCTAGGAGATAGGTAAGGTTTGAATGGAATTAATGGGCTGAATTTAGTAATAGGGGAGATTTGAATTGCTCTGTAAAGAATGAATTTTTGGCAGAGGGAGAAGGGCATGGCAGGTGTGTGTATAGGGGGAGGTGGTGGGGGATGAGGCACTGCACCTGCAAAATCTAGATGCTGCAGGATGGGGCTCCCATAGGGAATGGGGAAATATCATTAGGGGAACTGGTGTGAGATAAGGCTGGGCCAGGACCAGAGCCTCACAGGCCTTGAATTCCAGACCCATAGGCTTGGACTTCGGAGCTGTAGAAAGTGGAAGTTCTAACTTGGATTTAACTTTGTGTATGGAAGACTTCTGAGCCTGGATGACCAGCTCTGGGATATAGAGAAATCTTTAAGGTCATGATGGCTTAGCGAGGCCAACAGATCAGAGAGGAGATGGGTGGGAAGACCCAGACCAGAAACCTGGAGAGGAGAGCCAGAGGTGAGTCAGTGATAATTGGGATGTAAAAATCGAATTTGTTGATTGTTGATTGACTGTGGTGCTGGAGACACAGACAGGGATCAGGGAGGGAGCTGAGGGGAAGGGAAGAGAATAAATTTGAGTCTGCTGCTAGACAGGCTCCATGTGGGATTCTCTCTGTCTCCAGGGTCTAGCACAGGATTGTGCTAGCAAGAGCTAGTTTGTGTTGAAAGCCTGACTGACTTTGGGTCCCTTCTTAGCTCTGTCCTGCCCTTCAGTGTCGGGATAGGGCAAGAGAACAGATTGGCCCCTAAACCCCTCTACTTCCGGCCATCTCCTCTCTCCTTGGCCTTAATTGCCTTCTCTGAAAGATGATAAGTGGTCACAATGACAACCAGGGGTATTCACATCTGTTCCCCTTCAGGAACAGAAGAAATGAGTCCATAGAAGGGCAGTGTCTTAGGCAGTGCCTGGTCAAGGATGGGCAGGCCCATCGATCATTTTTGAGTTCCTGTTCCCTGACTTGCACCACCTGCCTGAAGCTTCACACCAGCCCCAAGTGGTGGCTGTTGCTCAGTCATTTCTGTTTCACAGGTGATAAATCGAAGCCATTAGGAGGAGTGGAAAGAGCCAGAGCCTCTGACTCTGACATCTGGGTGGCCTGAGGCAACGTGCTCACCTCCTGGAGCCTCAGTTTCTCACTCTGTCCCTAGGCTGTGAAAGAGGAGGCATGGTGGGCAAGGATAAAGGGGGCTAGATCTAATGGTAGGTAGATCTTGTGATCTTCCCAGAGAGGGGATGTGTCCTCTCAAGGTTAGTCAGTTGGGGAAGGGAGAGAGGTCTCCTGACTTCCAAATGCCTGCACTCTCCCATCTGTGCACTGACTCTAAAAACTTTAGTTGTGGTGGAGCAGGGGGAGGGAGGCACTCAGCTGAGTGGGAGGGATCCTGACTCTAGGAAGCCAAGTTCAACCTCCTTCCACACCCTGCCTGGCCTGTCCCCAGGGAAGGAGCAAAGATTCATCAGTTAAGGCACCAGCTGGCAGACAGGAGCAAGAAGGACAAGAGCACCAGTTGCCCAGAGACACCCTAAGAGGAGCCAGGCCAGGGGGGAAGGAGGAGAGGGTGGGTAGGCAGGAGGGAGGATAGAGGCAGCAGGCAAAGTCTGTGACCAAGATGGCTGGGGGCCCTGCCTTCCTCCTTCCCCATACCAGTCTACAACAGCTGGGCCTTCCCTCCCTGACCACCCACCTTCCCTTGTCAGGCTTGAGGGTGGGGTAAGGATCCCATTTTGACTCAGTTGCTAGCTGAGTAAATCACTTAACCTCTGTAAGCCTCCGTTTCCCCTGGGTCAAACATGGATCACAGTGTCCAAGTCCCAAGTAGGTCATCGTATGAGAGAAGAGCTAACAAACATAGGCAAAGGACTGGAGACTGGGATGTGGAATTAGTAATTCCCCTCTTCCCCTGGGTGAGGACCACCATGGACACAAGTCCCCACCACTATGGGAACTAGCTCTCTCCTCTGTCCTAATGGTAACCATCTGGGTGTTTAAGGAAAGATGGTTATTTGCAGAGCTGCTCAGTTCACAGGCATTGATTTGTTCCATTTTCACAAGTCCTTCCTATGAGCAGAGCTCGAGGGTCCTCTTTTCACAACTGAGGGGTGTGAAAGGTCACATCACTTGCTCTAGGTCACATGGACACTGAGTGACCTTGCAAGTTAGTTAACTAAAACGGACACTATTGAGAATGAGAGGTGCTGCTGCAGTTAGTCACACCAAGACTGGCACCAGCAAGTGGGGGAGTGTGTCAACCCACAAGGACAGCCTGTGGCTGAGCCTGGATTCCGGGTCAGGCTTGTTTGATCCCTCTCTGACCATAGGTTCCAGCAGTGGGAGAGAGGCGATGCACTGGATTAGGAAAAAATGGGGAGACCCTGGGTTCCATCCAGGTTACCCCTCCCTGTTCCCATGATCTGGGACTTCATCAAGATTCATCATCTTCCCAGGCCCCAGTTCCCAACTCCATCAGAGGAGAGCCATGGAGGTGAACTCCTCCTCACAGGTTTAAGTCCTCATGTATTGAGGTCCATCCAGAGAGGGGCAGTGGTTGGCCTGAGGTCGCACAGTAAAGTATGGGCTAAAGGAGGATTTGACGCCTGTTGTCTTGACTAGTCAGGAATGTGATAATGAAGGTATGTAACCAAGGTGAGTAACAGAGGCAGGGAACCACATGCATATTATGAAGGCAGGATACAAATGCATGTAATAAAGACATATGGGGTGAACATATGTAACAGAGGCATGTAATGAATGCATGCAAAGCCCTTGCTTGCACAGTGCTTGACACACAGCAACCACCCAGCACCTGGCATTATAGTTCAATGTCACAGAGTCTCTGACCCTTTTTCTTCCTGGAGGCCCAGCCCCTCCTGCTCTTTATGTCTTTTGCTTAGTAGGTGGAAAACAAATGGGCTCTGGCACCTCACAGCCTTTTTTCTATTCGATCTGGATTCTCCCTCTGACTGTGTAGCCCTAGACACTTCTGCCATGATGGAACGTTCTAGCCATTCAATATAGCTATCCAATATGAGAACCATCGGTTCCACGGCCACTGAGACCAAGGAAAAGAATATTTCCTGTTTTGTTTAAAACAAAACAACACAGATGTAAAACTCTTCTTTCTTGGGGGTTGGTTGAGAGGAGGGTTGGGAGAAAAAAAGACACTCCTTTCTCTGATCCTTAGATTTCTTATCTTAAAAATGAAGCTCACGGCACCAACTTGTAAGAGTTCTTTCTTTCAGTTCATGGGTGTGCAGGGGCTGGACTTAGGTACTGGGTAAAGGTGACCTGGTCTTCCCCATCTGACCCTTCCATCTCCCTACCCCCAACCCACTCTCTCTGCATTGTGTCTGGAGGCTGAGAACTCCTATTGTCCTGTCACCTGGGGAGTAGGGCCATCAGGCCACAGGAGGGCCTCACCCCAGCAAAGATCCGAGCAATCGTCTTTGGCCTCTTCAGAAACTGCACCGCTTCACTGTCAGCCAGGTCTTGGAGGCTTTCAGGGATATGCATGGTGGCTGCTCTGCTTCTGGGGGCCGGAGAGGTGGGAACAGGGAGGCTGGGTGTTGTCTGCTGCTGTCCGGGATTCTCCAGGCCTACGTTGGAGCTCAGCCGCTGTAAGATGAGGGTGGGATGTTAGGGCCTGAGGTTCTGGGTGAAGGGGCATGGGTGAGAAGGTATTAGGGGTCCCAAGAATGCAGTTGTGTGGGTAGGGGGTTTGTCATGGTTGTCAGAAATAGGAGTATGGTGTGAGGAGGATGCTGGGGGTCCCAGAGCTTGAGGTACAGGGTGAGTTCCTAAGGATGCTTTGAATTGGGGTGCCGAGAATGGGAAATTCCATTCTGGGAATTCCAAAGGTGAGGTACAAAGCATCCTAGAGTTGGGGGTATGGGCTGCTGGAAGTCCTGGGAGTCAGGGCTACAAAGTAAAAATGCTATAGGGTGAGGAGGTGTCACAGTCCCAGAGGTGGAGGTGCAGGGTGAAGAGAGTCCAGTCCTGTAAGAAGAGGTGGGGAGAGGACTGAGAAATTTAGGGATCATGTCCAAAGACAGGAGCCAGAGGGCCCATCAGGATTGTGTTCTGAAAGGACACAATTTCCAGGGCATAGGGCAGATGGCATGGAGATGAGAACCTCTGTGAGGTCTGAACCAGAGGAAGCCCTTTCAGGTATGGGGCCGACAGCAGCCATAATGGAGAACCCAGGCATCCCAGGGTCCATTTTAGACTGTCCTAGGGATAAGGAGTTATTTCCTTTGAATAACCCCTCCCCCCTTTAGAATTCAGGGCCATCTTCAATAAGCTCATGTGCGTTTCCTCAAGTTGGGGGGCAGGACCTCTGACGTGGTGGATAACATAGACTCAGAACTAGGCCATCCCCTCAGAACTAGGAAGCCGTGCCCCTCCCCCACTAAGCTACCTTCTTAGAATTGGGGTCTTCCCTTTAAAGATGTGGAAAGGAGGTGGCAGTAGTGGCAGGGCTTCGAGGTGCAACTTCCTGACAGAGTCACACCTACTCTGGAGGCCCCGTTTGCGTCCTTTGGAGGCTCAATCTTCCTTTCACCCACCCTCCCCTCCTGGTCCCTAACACCACCTCAGCCTTCTGGTTCCGCTTTTTCCCGCCTTTTCACTCCGCCACAGCTGATTGGCTATGCCCAAGTCCCGCCCCTATCTTTTCCCGCCTACTCAGGACTTAACACGAATGGAGGCGTGGTCTCAGCGGACGTTGGGCCGCTTGCCGTTGGCCCGCTGCGCGAGAGAGTCCTGCCCCGCCCCTCCCTGGTTGTCTCGCGCTTGCCTCACTCCCTTCCCTTTGAAGCACTGGGCTAAGACCCTTCTGTAGCGCATGCGCCAAATACGGTTTGCGGTGCAGACAGGCAGGTAAAATGCGCACGCGCAGTTGATGAGCCAGGGAGTAAACTGAAATGGCGGGCACACAGTGACCCAGCTGCGCATGCGTGGTACTGCTGTCTGAAGCCGAACCCCGGGGGCCCAAGACAGCCCTTTCTGCACATGCGCAAGAGGCTCAATGACAGTCGAGCGTTGGCTAAGGTGAGGGAGCGGGCGAAGAATGCATGACCCGGGAGGGCGCCCCGCACCCCCAATGTAGCCTTTCCGACATCTCCTCTGATCCTAAAACCCGCCTCGGCCCCTAGATTACGCAGAATTCAGTTGTACTATCACAGGGTCACTGGGCCCATAAAACGCCCCAAGACCTCAGAACTCTGATCGTTGCCTGGGACTCCGGCCAACTGAACAGTGTAGGAGGAGATTGGCAAGAGGGATTACGAGGCGAGCGGAAGGGCTCTGCGCCCTGCCTGGGTTAGGGACGGCCCCTGGAGGTTGAAAGTGGAATTGGAAAGGGCACTTTCCCTTCAAGTGACCTTTGCACCTTGCCCGTTTCCCTCGTTTAGGCTCCGGGCAAAGGATCTAGCCATGCTGCATGTGACCCGGGGGGTCTGGGGATCCAGGGTCCGAATATGGCCCCTGTTGCCGGCATCCCTCAGGCCCCCCCGGGCGTTGTCGTCACTGGCGGCCAAGATAGGGGAGTACCGCAAGATGTGGAACCCCACAGAGCCCCGCGACTGGGCCCATCAGTACCGTGAAAGATTCATCCCATTCTCCAAGGAGCAGCTGCTCCGCCTACTGATACAGGTACCTGCGGTCTTGGGTCCAATTCCCAGCAGGCTTCGCGGTGGCAGGACCCTAGGGCTCCTCTTGGGAGTTGTAGTTCCAGTTCCCATTCCCACGGGGCATGGAGTGAATTGGTATTCTAAGGGAGGAGGTCTGAGGTGCGAATACACCATAGATTCCTACTCTAGATTGCTCTTGGGGAGGAAGGTTTGAACCGGCAGTCGCTGGGGCATGGTTTTTACTTCTGCAAGTGGGTATAATACTATCTTCATCACTAATCTTGCTTCTACCTAATAATTACTACTGTTATCAAACTGAACTCTTACTTTATGGTATCGTGCTAGTGTGCATTTTTCCATGTATTGTTGAATCATCAGAACAGCCCATTAAGAGAGAGATCGCCATAATCCCCATTTTACAGATGGACTCTCTAGAATCAGGAGCAGGGAAGTGATATATCCAAGGTCATGACATAGTGCTCCAGATCTGAACTATGTGACCTGACTACAGAGTAGGTGGGGACTAGGGTGAGGTGATTAGGTACTTACTTGACCCTGAGTGACCCCTAAATTTTGCATCCTTTGGCACCTCATTCACCTCACCCTGCTCCTGGTCTCACTCCTGCACTTGAACTCTTACCTCACTGTCAGCACCATTACCATCCTTATAGTTGAGAATTATCATGAATTCATGCAATGATTATTATTCATGGACTAAGTCCTGGACAGGACTTTATACTCACACACATACGTAAATGACACCTTTATATGGACACACATAATGACATAAAATTCTCACCTTCGGTCTCTGAGAAAGAGGGTGTGATCCTATGTGCCAGTAAGGAGACAGGCTCCGGCACTGAAATGGGAAGACTAAAAAGGCCCTTTAGTATGTGTGCCACAGAGTCAGCTTCTACAGACGCTCCGCAAGTGACTTCCCTGAGTCTGTGTCCCTCTCTGAAAAATGAGAGTGAGAACTCCATCCACTGCTCTTGCCTGCTCTGGAGGGTAGTATGATGCAGGCCTACAGTGCCTGGCACACAATAAGCATTGTGTGGAGGTTGGGGAGTAAGTTCAAACCAGGAACTTGAACCTCTTGCTCTCGCAGCCACCTCTTTCTTTTTGAATTACACCCCTGAAAGGTGCTAGTGTCCCTAGTGCTGTGCCAATCTGTAGATAAAACAATGAAAGCAGCCAGGTCACTGCTCTCAGGGAGCTTCTGTTATAGTGGGGGCTGACCAGGACTCAGGTGCAAATGAGGGTAATCTCATAACATGCTGGGCGCTACAGGGAAAACAAAACAGCAATATCATGAAAGCATCATGTGGGAATCCTTTACATTGGAGGTGTAATTGAGATTTAGGGATGCTATTTCAATATATGATTTTTAGCCTTCCAGGTGACCTCAGTTCTTGGTCAGCAAAATTGGTTCAACTCAACCTCCTCCTGAACCAAAAAAATTTTATTTCTTTTCCTTGTTTATCTGTTTGTTGTTTTAAAATCTTTGCTCATTTTATTTTTTTCTTTGCTTTGGCCTTTCAGGCCTTTCTAATTTTCTTTTGTGGCTTAAAATATTTTTAACTTCATTTTTGGCCTTTCATTGCTTATTCTTTTGCAATTAAAATATTCTTTTTTTTTTTTTTTTTTTTTTTTTTTTAACCTTTTCTTTTTTTCTTTTTTTTGTAGTTTAAATTTTTCTTATTTTATTCTGTTATTTTGAATCTTCCAAGCCCCTCTCTCCCCCCACCGCCACCCCCCAAAATTAAAGCCACAATTCTGATTGGTTGTATGGGCCGCCAGGGAAAGAATCTGCCCTCTTCCTACTTCCCTACAGGAAGGGGGAAGATGCCTTAACAGTAGTGTTGCCTCCTGAATTAACAGGAATTCCACTCCAGTCCTACGCAGAAGGCTACTCTTGAGGAGTTCTCGGCCCATGCGGATTTCTGCACCTTGTTTCACTACCACCATATCCTGGCACGACTGCAGGTGAGGATAGCACCCCTCTGGCTCTAGGGTGCTTGTTTGATTACCCACTCATTCTCTGAACACCTGCTTGATGCCTGGCTCTGATCTAAACAGTGAGTAGGACAAAGAAAGCTATGCCCTCATGGAGCTGATATTCCAGTAGAGGAGATGATAAATCAATCAATACATATAAAGATGATGCCCTAGCATGGTGAATGATAAGTGTGCTGGAAAAGAACAGGGCAGAGTGTGGGCCCATGTTAGGGGGTGAGGGAAACCTTTCTTGTAGAGGTGATAGGTGAGTTCAGACTGATATGAGGTTGATGGGAAAGCATGTGCAAAGGCCCTGTGGTGAGAGTGGGCCTGTAAGGTTGGAGGAACAGCGAAAGGTCTACTGTGGCTAGAGGGGAATGAGTGAGGGAGAGAGGGTGGAAGATGAGAGCAGGGAGCAAACTGGGTCTGATCTTTTGGACCATGGTGAGGACTTTGTTTCTGATTCTTGAGTAAGCTGGGAGCCCAGTGGGACTCTGAGCAGAGGAAGTCTATGGAGTTGATTTCAGAGTTAATAGAATCCTCTGGATACTGTATAGGCTAGACTGTCAGAGACCAGGAAAATCATCCAGGAGGTAGTTATGTTTGTCCTGGTGAGAGAGAATGACATTTCCCCCAAGAACAATGGCAGTTTAAGCAGTTAGAAGTGGTCAGATGCTGGTCACAGTTGGATGGCATCAACATTTGGCTGTTGCGGCACAGTGAGGAGGGAGAGAGGGGACCCAGGGGTTGCCTCTGGCAGTTCTAGCCTGCTCCTCTGGAAGGATGGTGCAGCCTTTCACTGAGAGCAGAAGATGTGGTGGAAACAGGAACCAGATCTGCAGGGAAGATTAAGAGCTCAGTTTTGGACTTAGGAATTTGAGCTGCCTGTTAGCCAGTCTTTTTGACATACTGTGGGGTCCAGAGGTCAAGGGAGGGCCCTGGACTGAGAAACAACCCTTGGGAGGATCACGATGGTACTGAATGAGACTACTAATGGGATTAACATAGAGAAGAGAGGCAGCCCTGGATCGAGCCCTGGGGAGGGCCAGCCTGGAGATCAGGAGGGGAAATAGAACCGATGAATGGCGCAGACAAGACAAGATGTGGCCAAAAAGAGTGGTGGAACTCTAGGGAAGTGTGATATCTGGAGGAAAGTCCTCAGCGTCCTCCATCCAAGATCCTGCTAGTATTGGGGTCCCCAAGACTGCCCCGATTCAGTGATTTTCTAGAGGGACTCAGAGCTAAGGAAAGCTGTTCTGCTCCCAGTAATCATTTATATAGCAAAAGGATAATGAATAAAATTAAAGAGAAGAGGGGGCCTCCCTAGTGGCACAGGGGTTAAAGTCTCAGTGCTATCTAGCTGTCACCAGTCACTGCGTCATGAATTCGATCCCCACCCAGGGAGCTAACCCACATGCACAACAGACCTCTCCTGTTTAGCCCACTGCCCCAGTGGATTTCCGTGGATCCACCTGTTCTGCTCCCCTTCTATCCCTGGTGAATCCACTCACCCCACACACACCACTGGCCTACACCCCAGTTCTTGTACGTGTAAATAAATAAAAATAAATCTTTTAAATAAGTAAAAGTAAATTAGAGGAAAGAGGCAGATGAGACCACGGCAAGAACAGAACAGGTGCAAGCTTTTGGCAGTCACTGGAGGCTTGGTGTCCTGGGTTTTTTATTGGTTACTCAACTTTTGGAGGTCAAGTTGATACCAAGGCACATTTTGGCATAGATTAGCAGACAGGATTTTCTAAGGTCTGAGAGGTTCCTCCCAGGAGGCAGCAAGGGCCAGGCCTTTGGAATGTGTGGAGTTTGCACAACCCAGACCTACTGAGTTGACCCTTTCCCCATACGCAGTCAGGCCCCTGCTTTGCTTTGTGGGTCCCACAGCCCCTCATGGTTGAGTGCTTGTTCCATATCAGGCTCATCAATCCTGCCTTCAGCACTGAGGACCAGATGCCATCGAGATCCGAGATGTAGTTTCCTGACACACCAGGATCCACCTGCCTCTGGACTCTTCCTGTGGCCTCTAGAGGCAGAGTTGTTTTTATTTTAAATGATTTGAAAATTGCTTTCTTATAAATGTTTAAATGTCTATATAAACATAGAAAGATATAGAGGGGGAAATGCATGTATGTATTCCTACAGAGGCAGGGCATTTGAAACCCTTGAAAGGTCTGCAAGGGGCAGGGTGGAAGCAGCAGGTGTGACAGAGACACACGGATTCCCTTGGACTGAGAGCCTAAGTCCCTTGAGAAAGCACCTCAGGGCAGGGAAAGAAGTAGGACAGCTGCAGCTCAGTCAGCATGGCTTCATTGTTCACTGACTGTGCAGTTGGCCTTGGCCAGTGACTGCTCTCTGACCTTCCTTCCCATTATTCACATACTGAATCAACCTGAGAGACACTGACTGAGCACTACCATGTGCCCCAGTGGCTCCAGGCCCTGGGAATACCATGGGCGAACATGACAGATAGGTGTGTCTGCCTCTGTTCTCGTGAGGGAAAGAGACCCTCAGCCAGGTAAAGAAGTGAACTATGGTAGGAGATGTTAACTGCTCAATGTAGGATTGGGACCAGTACAGCCAGGCCCCACTGTTGCCATAACAAATGTCTTCTACCTGGGTGGCTGAAAACAAGACATTGATTCTCATATTTCCGAAGTCCTTTGGAATTTCCGAAGCCTGTAATTCATGTGTGGGACCACCGAGGGTGGTTCCTTCTGAAGGATCTGAGGGGACGCCATCCTGTGCCTCTCTCCCAGCTGCCACTCCTGGCTTACAGACACATCTGCTCCCATCTCCATCTTCACGTTACCCACCTCTCGTGTCCTTTTCTCTCTCTTTGGAGGACACACTCAGCTGAATTGAGGATCCACACGAAGTCATCTCCATCCTTACCTTTGTTGCCTTCTTGAAAACCCTGTTTCCAAAGGAGGTTGGAAACTATCTGTAGTTCAGAGGGAATCTGGATTTTTGAAGAGGGCCCTCTTCAGCCTGTTAAGGATGACTTTTAGATAAGTGATAATTTTTGAAATTTAATTATGTCCCATGCAACACAATCCTCAAGTGTTGCATGGGGCATACTTAAACTGAAAAGTTATTGGTTGTTGATCCGAATTTTAAATTCAACTTGGTATCTTGTCATTTGTTCTGTGCTATCTCTGGTAACCCTAATTTAGGAGAAGAAGAAAGCAGTGATGTTTGCAGTTTTAGGTAGAGTAGTTCTGGGAAGTCTTCCCTAAGTGGCTAACATTTGGGCAGTGACCTGAGGTTCAAGAGTGAGCCCTGGGGAGAATAGTAAGTGTAAAGGCCGTGAGGCAGGAGTGTGTGTGGACAGGGGGAATAGTAGAGACTGGTGGGACTAGGTACAAATGAGCGAGGGGGACCAGACTAGAGATGAGGGTGGCAGGGGCCAGGCCAGAACCTGCCGCAGGCCTGCGGGACACAAGGGGTGTAACAGGGTGGTCCCCTCTCTCCCTGCCCTGTAGTAGGAGGACTTGGACTCTGAGTGAGGTGGAAGCCAGAGGAGGACTCTGAGCCGGAAGAAGGAGGGGAGTTGGTTTATATTACAACATGTGCCCTCTGGTGGCCATGCGGGAAAGGACTTGGAGTGAGGATGAGAGCAGGACAGCAGCTAGGTCGGTGCAGGGATGGCAGGTGGGGAAATCTCTCTACAGGGCTCACATTGTGGGTAAATTGGGTAGCGCTTGCTGACTTCCTACTCAGTGACAGGCCTCATGTACCACGGTAGTCCCCGTAGGATGTACCATCCAGCCAAGGTGTGAAACAGGCTCTACCACCACTGGCTGGTTAATTGCACTGTCATTTCAAACAATGATTACATGGCCTGAGCACATGGTTTTTCAGAACTGGCTGTTAAATGATGGGTGACTCAAGGCACACCCAGAAAGCAGACTTCTGGATGGACATGGGAACTGACAATGGGGCTGCTAGGTAGTTGGGGATTTGGGAACTCTATGTGGATATATGGCCTATGACCGTATTCTGTATTTGGCACCGTCAGGATTTGCTGATAGGTTGAAAGTATGAGAGGTAGGGGTGGCTGGGAAGATGGCCAGGAAGCAGGCTGGCGGAGGAGTTTCTGAACCTGAGTTCAGGACACAGTGGCTTAGTGGGAATGCCTGTGGAGTCTGTGTGGAGAGGTCCCTAGACACTCACATAGAGGTGCAGAGCAGGAGCTTGTCTGTGTGAGTCCAGAGTGTAGGGAAGTCATGTGGACTGTAGACAGAAATTTGGGGGTTGTCATTAGACAGATGGTGCTTGAGGTCTCCAAGGGAATGCTTGAAGCTGGAAAATGGCAGCAGTGATTGCCATGAAGACCCAACAACATCAGTCACTCTTAAAGCAGATGTGTGTGCGAAGCCTCGTGCCATGTGCTGTGCTAGGCTCCACTGAGGGAATTCGGGCCCTGAGAGCACTCTGCTCTCAGGAAGCTGGTCATTCAGACAGTGAAGACTAGGGTATTGCGTGTGCAAGTGGGTGATGAAGCTGTGCTTGGTCTCTGTACCAGGGTTGGTGTGCACATTAGCTGGTGTTGTCTAATATGGTTGCCACTGTCCATATGTGTCTGTTTCAATTTGAAGTAATTAGAATTGAAAAAAAAACCCTCTACTCCCCCATCACATTTACCATGTTTCAAGGACTTACTAGCAACCGATGGCCAGTGGTGACCTACTGGATGGCACAGACCTTTCCATCACTGCAGAAAGTTCTGCAGTGGTAGACAGCACTGCTTGACCCCCTGGAATGCTGTCAGGGGTGAATAATAACACAAATGTGCAAGTCTATGGCATCTGCTGTGTGCCTTTTAGATATATCACCTTTACGCCCTGCCCAACCACACAGGGTGGCCCTGCTCAGCCTAGGGTGTGGAGGAAGCCTTTTTGAGAATGAGAAAGGAGCTATAATATGATAGACAAGCAAGAATTCAGGAGCAGAAAGGATAGGATATAGGGAGGGGGCCAGGGAATGTCCCTGAACAGCATGTACAAAGTCCCTGTGCCTAAAGGAATACACACCGCTGTGACTGGTAAGGCTGCCTAGAGGGATCGTGACAGCCAACAGGCTTTTCAGGCTGTAATATGGAGCATGGTCTTGCCAGCTGAGGGCACAGGCGTCAGGTGAGGGTCATCACATGATAGTGCATATGTGACTCCTAGCTGTGTGACCAGTTCCCTCATCCTTGAGTGTACCCACAACCTTTCCCACTGTGACCTACCCCATTTTTCTTGTCTCTGACTTTCTCCCCAGGCTTTGTATGATCCTATTAACCCTGACAGGGAGACCCTGGATGAGCCATCACTCACGGACCCCCAGCGTCTATCCAATGAACAGGAGGTGCTTCGGGCTCTGGAGCCCCTGCTGGCCCAGGCCAACTTTTCCCCGCTGTCTGAGGATGCCCTGGCTTATGCTCTGGCGGTGCATCACCCTCATGATGAGGTCCAGGTACCTGTCTTCCTGAGGAGAACCGCGACTCCCAGGAGGCTTTTGGGCAGGAGTAGAACTCTAAGGAATCTGAGGCTGCTGGGAGTTGTAGTTCTGAGCACAGGGCTCCAGCCCATGTGGTACCTTTGGGGAATTAAAAGAGGTAAGTCTTATCAAGCTTAGTGAAATAAGCCAGAAAGAAAAAGAAAAATACTGGATGATTTCATTCATAGCAGGAGCATAAGGGATCAGAGGGGAAAAAAAGAGAGAGAGACAAACAAATGTAATAGAGTAAAAATGAAAACAATGAACAACTATAAGCCAGAGACATTTTATGGGGGTAGAGGGAATGGGATCGGAACCAGAGTAGGAAGAATGCACTGAACTATGATGATGGCATACAGGTGAATTGGTGGTGGGAAGCCCCCGGGGATTACAACTGAGATGAAAAAATGCACAAAATGAAGAATGATGTTAAAAAATAAAAAGTATATTAAAATATAATAAAATAAAAGAGGTAAGTCTCTCAGGTTATTTCTCTGCTATTTGTTGGAAAACTATTTTAAGACATAGATTTTCCTGGGACTGGAGATTTTCTGCCAGAAAATTGTAACGAATAATATGAAAGGCTCATCCTTAGTCAATAAAATTATAATACAGATACCAACATCTTTCAAATTTCCATATTTTAGTAATTTTAACATGTATTTTTTAGGTCATATTTGTCAGCTCTGGAATTAGGGTATGACTGCCAAGTGGTGGTGTGACAGTTTTTTTTTTTTTTTTGACATAGTTTAATTGGCAATATTTTTCTTTCATTTACTTTACTTCATAAAGTAATGGAATATCTTAAAAATCAGTGGCACGGGCCCTCCCTGGTGGCGCAGCGGGTTAAAACACAACACTAAGAAGCTTAAGCCACTTCCGCATGAGTTCGATTCCCGCCTGCCCCCGGAGGTGACCGCATGGCACGGCAGACCTCTCCTGACCTGCCCGCTGCTCCCCTCAGCAGTGTACTTCGTCGATCTGCCTGTTCTGCTCCCTGCTCTGTCTCTGCTGAATCCTCTCACCCTCCACATCTCTGGCCTGTACTCCAGTTCTATATGAATAAATAAATAAATCTTTAAAAAAAAATCAGTGGCACTTTAGATTCTAGGAAGTACTGTTATAAAGATGACTGAGAATGTTACCATCTTAGGTGGTGTGCCATTGTGTAGTATACAACATGGACAACTATACGTGACTGCCCTGCCCAGACTGGGAAAGGGGAAAGGGAATCATTGTGTGGAGAGGCATCTGATTCCAATGTCCCATGTTCACACCCTGGCCCATGCTCAGCTGCCTTTTTCTTTGTCCCCCGTTGGCAGGTGGCAATAGATTTGGATCAGTATATCTACATGCAGTTCTGGGCTCTGGGCCAGCGAGTTGGGCACATGCCCCTTAAGTCCAGCGTGGGCTCCAAGCGTGGCTTCTTCATCAAGTCACCCCCTACAGAGAGGTGAGGTGGCTCTTGTTCCCCAGATGCAGCAAGAAGGGAGCAAGGTTAGAATCGAGAGGGGACTGACAGGTCAGTGTCTGGACTTGGGTGTCTGGGGCCTGGGTGGGCAGTCAAGAAAGGGAGAGGGAGGGATGGATCACCCAAAAGCTAACTTTTCTTCCCAAGGGGCAGTAAGTACTCCAGGAAGGGATAAGGAGTAGGGATGCCACTCCCCATTTTCCAAATGAGGGAAATTGAGGCTCAGAGAGGAAAGTTCAGTGACAAAGCGGCATAGCCAGTTTCTGATGAACAGTGTAATTTTAACAGATGATACACAAATATGGGGGGTGGTCAGGAGAACCAGATCTTCGCAAGATTGGCCAGGGTACCTAGAAATCGCTCAACCTTTATCACATACTTTTGTCAAATATAGTCACACGTCCACAGCAACAAAAGGAAACGAAACAAATGACAAAAAAGTCCTCATGTTTCTTAAACTTGTAATTCCATGTTCTGAATCTATTCCAAGGAGATATTTATACTTGCAGACTGTGTGTTCAATGAGCTGTCTCTCACCCTGGGCATAAAGCCCCACAAAGACAGCGACTGCTTCATTTTTGGTTTCTCCAGAGCCTAATAGTACTCCGTGGTACTTTAAAACATATGCAGAATTTGGAAGTTAACTGAATGGAAGAATTTTATTCAGCTCTTTATGTGTCAAGTATATAAAATCAGAAGCCCTATTTGCCCAGGAACGGGGTTTGCATTATTCAACGAACCCCTCTTTTGGGGTACTCAGTTTACTTCTGCTTTTCCTTTCTCTGTCATTGAGTAGCTTGAGCAGACTGTGTGACTGCAGAGCAAGGGCCATGTCCTGAGATCGGAGGAGGCTTCCTGAGGTAGCCCTGGCTGTTCTCACCCCCTGTCTCTATTTGCCAGGAGATACTTTAAGCGGGTGGTGCTGGCAGCCCGAACAAAGCGGGGGCACCTGGTTCTGAAGAGCTTCAAGGACACACCTTTGGAGGGCCTGGAGCAGCTGCTGCCGGAGCTGAAGGTGCGCACACCCACCCTGCAGCGGGCACTGCTCAACCTCACGCTCCTGGTCTCTGGTGTGATGTTTTTCGTCAACGTGGGCATGGTGGTTGTGTCAGACCTCAAGATGGCCACCTCCCTGCTGCTGCTGCTGTTCGCTGCCTTCATGGGCCTGCGTGCCTCCAAGGTAAGAGTCCACCCCCATACCTTCCTGGTCCCTGCCTCTTGGAATTCAGCCAAGAGTTAGGTCACCCTGTATTTGTGATTTATTTCTCGTAGGATGCCTGCTTCATGCTGTTTCATGTCCTTCTTTTCCCCTTCTTCCCTTTCCTGCCCCCCATGTCCTGCTCTCTTCTTTCTCTCCCCTTACCTTCCCCCAGCCTTCTGCTTCTCATCTCTCCCCTTCTCTTCCGTCCTTCTTTGCCTTATTTACTCATCACAACCTTGGGTAAATTTCTTGATCTCTCTGCACCTCAGCACCTCAGCGGGGTAACAGTGAGTCCACCTTGTAGGGTTGGTTGAGAATCAACAAATGAATGTTCACATGTGGGAAGGACATGCTTTTCAAACCAAACTGCCTGGGTTTGAAGCTAGCTTTGCATCCTTCTTCTAGCTGTATCAAAGAAGCTACCTAGACTCTATGCTTCAACTCCCACATATGGAAAGCAGGGAGGACAACAGCATTGAGCTCTTGCAGGGATTCAGTTAAATCTACACGCAGTGCCAGACAGTATCTGTCCAGGTGTGTGTCTAGTGGAGCTGATGTGGCAATGCCTGGGTTACAGAGGGATGTTTGCCGAAGAGGGAAACGTGACCTAGGGAAGGCCAGAAAGGGACCCCTGCCCCCCTAAAAAAGGGTTCTCACAAGAACTCCAGGAACCTATTTTTAACGATTCTGCTCTACCTGAATACAGGGCTACTTCATGCAGTTGCACAGGTTGTTCACCATTCAAGCATCATGATGGAGGGGTAGCTGGGGCTCACACCCACTTGTGCATGGCTGCTGGGCTGTGTGCCCTGTCTCAAGGCCGAGTCAACCTGGAGGGCTGCCTTTTACTGCCTCTCCCCAGGGCTGGCACCAGCCCCAGGCATGTAGGTTGGCTGGAGGCATCCGTGATACCCAGTCATTCTTATGCTGGTTCATTGCTTTTTCAAGCTGTTTTCAGCCATCCCCACGGGCTCTTAGGAGGACTGGTAATAAATCCTGCAGAAAATAGCTAGGGTATGCTTGCTGAGGAATGGCAGCAGAGAGCCATTCCTGCTCAGAACCAGGGGTCACACTTTGAGAGGGGAGGCTTGAGTTTGGTGGAGAATGGCATTGTGGGATCTCTCCCAGGTTGGACAAGTGAGCCCCAGAGGCTGGGAAAGGTTTTGAATGCCAAAGTAAGGGCCCTTGACTTTATTCTTGCTGGGAGCTGTGGAAGCACCTTTACCACGGAGGGAGGGCAGCTACCAGGGAGGGCCAGACTAAAGCTGGGGAGGGCAGTGTCCAGTAGAGTCCCAGCTCAGGGTCGGATTTTGCCTCACCTCTCAGCGGCTCTGGATGGGTGGGTGGGGGGTGTCCGTGGAGTCTCTTGAGTTCTTACAGGTCTAGTTTAAAACCTAGCTCATGAATTAATTTAGTGTATAAAAGAGAAGGACTTAAAAAAAAAGGAACATTGTTACATAAAAAGTGCCAAAGCTACATGTGCAATGGTCTAGAAATCCTTGAACCAATCCATAATATGTGGCTCAGATGAGCAAATGAGTGTGGTAGCAGTTGTTAAAAACTGTTGACGCATGTGTGTGTGTGTGTGTGTGTGTGTGTATAGTTGGGCCCCATTCTGGGGACCTGAACAGCAGAGGTGGGGGGTGGGGGGCGGGAGTAGGCAAGGGAGCCTGCTGAAAGGGTGATTCTATCGTGAGGCTGTTGTGCCCGCAGATGTTCGGACAGCTGCGCAATGTGCAGGCTCTGGAGCTGGCCCACATGCTCTACTATCGCAGCACGTCCAACAACTCAGAGTTGCTTAGTGCGCTGGCCCAGCGTGCCCAGGATGAACATACCAAGGAGGCGCTGCTGGCACACAGCTTCCTGGCTAGGAGGCCCGAGGGTGCGAGCGACTTGCCAGAGGGTAGGACTGGATCCTAGGACCCTAAAGTCATGGCCCCCCCACTATGCCACAGCCCTGCCCTGAACATGCCCCACCCCTTGGGGGGAGGTGGGGTCCCCTACCCGAGGAGATTGGCTTCACCCTGACCCTGCGGGACCCAGACCCCTTTTAGGGGCTCCACCAGAGTGAGACGGAATCCGCACTCCTCGCGGTAAGCCCTACCCCATTTCCACTGTGACCCCGACCCTCAACCGAGATTCCGAATTTGATGGATATAGCCCCTCCCCGGGATGACCTCCCTTTCCTGACCTCAAGCTACACGGGGTCTTGGGTCAGACTCCTGTTACGATATACCCCCCTCCTTCAGCCCTCTCATCTCCTGTGAACTTGTTCCTGTACATGAGCCTATATTTTCCCAGGAAGTGATCCATGACTATTCCCTGTGGTCCTTTTCCCAGCAAGAGCCACCACTGTTACCTGAGCAACAGGCCTTGCAGGAGTGTTTGGCCCTAGACAAGAGACCTAGAGTCTCAGGCCCTCGTAGCCCTTATCCTACTCTCTTTTTAGCTTCAAGGATACCCTCCCATTCAGTGACCCCAAGTCCTTCCTTCCTAGTACCAATTTCACTTCTTCACATCTGCCTCTTCCCCACCTCTCTGCAGAAACCTCCAGGTGGCTCCAGTCTGAAGTGGAAACTTGGCTCCTGGCACAGTCAGGCTGTGAAGTGGCCTTCAATGGAACTCGGGCCCTGGCCCACCTGCAAGCCCTGACCCCCAGCATCGGGATGTATCCGCCCCCAGGTTTCCCCAAGCTAGACCCGTTGACTACAGTTACCTCCAAGTTCCCCCTGGCGGCACCCAGTAGTGAGCATCCATGACAGAATCGTCTGCACTGCCCGGCTCAGCCACCTGGTTAGGGCCGTAAGGTCCGACTAAGCTCCGCCTTCCCCACGGCAAGCTGTCAGTCACAGCTGCTAGGCTTTATCGCTCCCCATTTTCTAGTCACTGGCAATGGCTTCCTGTTACATTAAGTCTTAAATCCGCCAATCAAGGCGGCCTGCACTCTCTGGCCCCACCTCTTCTGGTGAAGAGCCAATCATAGCTTGTTGGCTCAGCTTCTAGTCCATCTCTTAGTCCCACCCTCATTGGCTGAGGATGGCACAGTTGTTAACAGTACCCTCCTAGGGCTATATATCATTGTCTTTTTAGCCTGTACTGGGCGAACTGCCCTTCATACTCACCAAGGCGGAGCTCCAGTCCACAGCCAATGAGGTATTTTTTTAGTCCTTTCCTCTGGCAAATTGCCAGTGACAGCTGCTGGGCACCACCAACCTTAGGAGCCAGTTGTTGCTGCCTAGAAGCAATCAGTCAGAATTTCTAAAGGAAACCTGATCTTTCTGTCTATTGCCTCTGCTTATAAGACAGGCAAGCAGGCTGGCATCTGGCAGCCACTGACCAGCTTGCCTAGGCTAAAGGGATTGGGGTCTGTGCCAGGCACAGATCTATGGGCCAGAAGGAACCAGAGACCATTCTCACTCCAAGACTCACTTCCACTGGGCCTCCCACAACCTCAGGTGCCTTCCCTCCCCAGGCCCCTCACCCCTTCTACAGAAACTACCTCCGTCTGCATTTTCACCACAGCCTTGGCCTGTGCAATATTTATCATCTATCTGTTTCTCCCATCCTCTCTTCAAAAGAAATAAATCATGTTTAACGTACTAGGATGAGTGGGGTAGCTGCAGAGCATGGAGAGAAGGAAGGCGCCCGCATCTTGGAAAAAAGTCTTTTGAGGATGGGGAAAGGGGGTGGGGACTAGGCAGAGAGTCCTAGAGACTGGGCCAGTAGTTGGTGAAATACAGAAGAGGGTGCTAGGGTGGGCCTTATAGTTCAGGGAAGACTAGATCTTCCTAACATGGGAGGTAGAGTGACCATGTGCAGTTGTGCAGATTGTTCACTTCCTACAGCAGGGAGGCGGGCAGATGTGAGATCCAGCTTCCCTCTGCCCCTCTGTCCATAAGCAGGTTGGGTAAGCCTCCAGAAGGGTGGTACTGTCTCATGGTCTGGAGACATTTGGAGGTAGGGGGAGAAGGGGTGCGTCCTAGTGAAGGAATGAGATTGTTTCAAGAGTGGGATACAAAAGTGTCTTCCCAGAGGAAAGGGCAGAATGAAGGGAGAAAAAGAAGAAACCCAGTCAGCATAGCGCACCCTGCTGGGGAAGAGACCCTTGTGCTAAATAGGGGAGGTGGGGAAGCCCGCACTCCAGTATCTTCTCACAGTGACTGAAGGTCAGCACTTGGGTTTTTTACGGGGAAGGTTCAGAGCCTGGGGCTGCTGTGTCCGTAAAAGGGGCTGGGGATCTGTAGCTAGACATTCTGAGGGCAGAGCTGCAGGTGGGGGGGGGGGCATCCCAGAAACAGAAGAGATCGGGGTAAGCAGCAGGGGCCCCTGGAGAGGAAGGAAGCAAGAATGCTAAGGTAGAACCGGCGGTTAAACAGTTTTATTTTCTGGGGGATGCGCGGCGCCTGAGGCTTCCGGGTGCGGGGTAGGTTGGGCACGGGCCGGGGTGGGGGGCCAGGTGAGTCCCGGCACTCACTCCCGCTTCCGTAGGTGAATGTAGATAACGCCACTGGCCAGGGCGAGGGGGAAGGCCACCCAGGCCAGTACGAAGCAGTATCCGAAACTGCCCCCCGGGGGGCTCTTAGCCAGGATCTCCTTCGCGTGAATAGCGTAGATCAGCGCCCCAGTAAAGACCGCCATGCCTGGGGGGAGACGGGAATCACGTGTTACGCGGTGCCCGCTAAAGAACTTCATTTCCCAACAATCCAAGGGGCAAAGAAGCGGCGGAGAACGCGCGTGCACAGCACCGCGGCTTCTGCGGGTTGTGGTTTGTTCCCCTAGCTCTGCGCAACTAAACCACTTCAGCTCGGCGCTGGGCAATCGAGTTAATGTCTCTGAGTTCCCGTGATTCTCCGTAAAATCAGACGACGATTGCTTACTCATCCACCCGTCCAAGGAATAGTTCTGACTGCCTTTCTACAGTTCAGTACCCCAGAGTGAATAAATGAACCGAGAGGGTCTTTGTAGGATCCTAGGGAGATGATGCTCACCAAACTGAAGACTTTCAATTAAGTTAGCTGTTGCTTCCCTCAGCAATGTATTTCCGTTCTGTTCTGCTCCCTACTCTGTCCCTGGTGAAACCTCCCATCCCACCCCCATCTTTGGCCTGTACCCCAGTTCTTGTATGCATGTATAAATAAATCTTAAAAAAAATTAATTTAGCTGTTGCACATTGAAGCAAAAAGAAAAAGAAGAGAACCTAAAACTCTCTGTTGTGTCTGATACACAGTAGTCAGAATTGGTCACCATAACAATAGTGAGACCAGTATTAATGTGACTCAGAGTCTGGGGTATTGATTAGCCACCGGTTGCCACCCCCATCCCTGTGACCAAAATCATTGCCTACACTTCTTTCCCTAATCCTATTGAAACACTAAGGGCCAGCCCCCTCTCTCACCTTCCATTCCCATCCCCATGAATCACAGATACCACAAGCCACCACGGAGCACTGACATCTACAATTCTAAGTCCCCTGGAGCAGAGAGGTAGCTCATAGAGCTGTTGAGTATGGAGAATTATTTTCTTTCACCAGATGTCTATTGTCAAGGGGCCTCCAGCCTCTTGACAGGCCCGCTCCCTCCCCTTTAATTCCAGGGAACAGTGCTTACTGGTGCAAAGCTGGCAAAGGCCAGTGGCATAGAAGAGCCCTCCTCGACGCATGGTGTAGAGCTGGAACATGAACAGGATGAAGGACAGACAGCAGAGGATGAGGGACAGCACCATGAGGACCTGCACCGCCTTCAGCCAGCCTGTAATAAGGAGACAGAGATAGGAGTCACAGGGCGTCCCACCGTCCAGTTCTACCTGCTTGCTCTTATGTTACTACCCCACAACCCTTCTCCATTTAGAGCCATCAAACCTTAGATGCTTAGGAATATCACTTGGATGCTTGGTTCCTGTAGTTTTGCTAAAGTATCAATTGTATAAGCTGCTTTAGAATTTTATATATAGACATGTCCACTAGGAATAGAGACATTTTCACATCTTCCCCATTTTTATGCCTTTTATTTCTTTTTCTTGCTATATTGACTCGACTACCTCTAGTACTATGTTGAATAGAGAGTAGAAATTCTTTGCTCTGAGGGGAAAAGCATATAAGCTTTCATTTACAAATTTTAGTGGATATAGCTCTCTGCTCCGTTAGAACTCAGGTGCATATGCCACCATTCTTTTAGAACCTTGTAAAGATTCAGACCTACCTCTTTGGAATATTATTGGGGTTCCACCTCTACCCTCTTGGAATTTGGACAAATTAGGTTCAGCCGTCCATTCAGAACACCAGTCCCACATGCTTGGGACTTTGGAAACAATCCTATCTTCTAAGATCCTTGAGTGCTTTTCCCCCATTCCTTAAACCAATTTAACATTTCATTTCCTCACCTTCTGAACAATAAGGGAGGGAAACTTTAGGTCATCCTCACTCAGCACTGGAATACAGACCTACCCACTCAAGCCTCTGGGGCAGGGGACTGCAAATCCTTGCTCCTGGCCGAAGACTTGGGGTTACCCCTTCCTGCTGCAGACCAGTCACTGATGCCCCTCAGCCCTTACCATTATCACTGACGTTACTGCAAGTCCATGTTTTGTTGACATTGTTCCACGTGCAGTCATACCACAGATTCAGGGACTCCTTCCCAGGGAGAGTCCACCAGGACTGGGGTGGATAGAAAACAGTTAGGGAAGAAAATAGACGGGCCAGGGAGCAGGTGGGGGGTAACAGTTTGGAAAGCAGTGAGATAATAAGCAGGGGCTGGGCTGGGGCAAGTACGGATTTAGTTGGAAAGGGGCTGGTGAGGTGGTGGTAGTTAGTGGGGTCAGAATGTGGCTCAAAGGGGTAAATGCAGGGGGAAGTGGAGGTGGGGCTTGGTGACTCTATAGAGGGTGTGGCTTGTCCCTCTATAAGGGGTGTGGCTTGTCTGCAGCAAAGCTGGAGGTCCCAGGGCCACCAGTAGACTTACCTTGTCCAAAGTGGCCACGAAAAGCAAGATGAGAATGAGGATATGGAGCGCAGAGACCACCAGCAGGAGGAGAGACATGTCTGCAGTGGGGGACGTCAGGAGATGGTACTTTCAAGAAACTGCACAGGGCAGGTGAGATATCCAAATCCTGGTGGAGAAGGGGGACTGAGTCCAGACTCCCAGGCCTAATGGAGAAAGAGACTGGGGGTGGTCTCTTGAGTCTGAGGGGAGAGGTGGGGGGCCTAGGCTCCTGAATTCCCTAGGAGGTAGAGAGGGCTGGGGATGGACTCAGGTCCTAGAGGGAGTAAGACTAGCAATGAGTCTCTCTTCTCAGAGCTCCAATCCCTGGGCACATGTGCACTAGGATATAAAAATTCAAGCTGACACCGCTCCGGATTTCTCAGAAGCTGGGGGCAGCCCCCAGGGACATCCTTGACTCACCCCATTCCTCTCGGGGGGGATGGGGGGAGAAGGGGGTGAGGAGGGGGGCCAGATGAGTCATCTGGTGACTCATCCCACATCACTGCCTCCAAGCATTAACCAGGGAAACCCCATCCCCTGGTTATGCCCACAAGCTCCACACCCCACCCTGATGCCAGAATGGTGCCTGCTGGACGCCAGAATGGTGCCTGCTGGACACCAGGTGGGAAAATGGACAGGAGACTCATCTTAGACGGAGCAGGGGAGAAGTCAGCCTCCCTTCAGTGTTCAGCAAGGAAGGGAGGACCTGAAGTTTCCCTAGACTGGAAGTGTTGTCTTATGAAGCCTTGACCTCGGGTTCCCCGGGAGAGAGTGAACTGCCATTGGGACAATCTGCCGGAAGTTTTAGGGTGGAGGGCTCTGCTGGGACCCCCCCCAACGTTGCCCGGCCCCACCCCTTTCTGAATCCCCACCCCGAGCGCTACGAGATCACTTCTTAAATCATCAGGATTTCCATAGGGGTCCTTCCCAAATGATGTGCTCCCAAGTAAATCAAGAAATCCCAGTCTGAATAACGGACTGGAAACTTACCGATCGGCTGAAAAGTCAGAGTCGAAGCCTCGTCCCTCGCTCAGGCCTCCGAGCCCCGCCCTTCTCCTCCCTCCTTCCACCCTTCCGAGGCCCCCCGCCTCCTTCGCGGCCTCCCTCCCTCCCTCCCTCGCTCGCGCTCGCTCTTCCCTCCGACTCCACTGGCTCCCTACTTCTCTCCAATCCCGGAACCTTTTCTTTTTCTCTCTCCCGGTCTCTTTCTCCGCCCTTCTGCCTCTGGCCTCACTCTCTCTGTTCTCACAGCCTGTCTCTATACCTCCGCTTCTCTCTCTTCACACCCTCCTGGATTCTCCTCTGCTCCTCTGAATATATACCGGCACTTTTATACCCACCCTCACCGCACCCAACTGAGGTCTGTAGCCAGAGGGAGGGCCCAGGCGCTCGGGTTCCTCATTCTCTGGGTCCCCACCCACTGCCCCCTGACTGGCTTCTTCTGGGGCTCCCTACCGGAGTTGAGATGAGAAGTCCTTGGAGGGAGGGAGGGGTATCGTGGGGTGGGGCAAACATCGGAGAGTGGGAGGGCCAGAATCTCAGGCCACTGCTGCTCCTGGTTTGGTCTGGGTCTGGTCCTGGGACCGCATGTCAGCTTCCCTTGGTAAGGTTTAGGATTGGATACTTGGAGGGATGGCAGTCTGGGAAAGGCCAGATTCCTGCAGTGAAGAGTGGGGATTCCTGGTGACTGGTGAATTGTTGCCATGATGGGGGTCTGGGGATGGAAGATGGAGATGTGTGAAACTGTAGGCGATAGAAGTTAAGAATGTCAGTGCTATTGTTACAGGGCACCCCAATGTGAATTGGGTTGCCTGTAACCCTTACCTGTTGCACTATTTCCTGGCTGGGGGAACTTTGGCCAATTATTTCAACTAAGCCTCAGTTTCCAAATCTGTGAGATAGGTACATTGAATACTGATGATACTGACTTATTCTAAATGGGTAAGGTAATGCCAGCACACTCACACTTAGTGCATTCCTTTTTTTCATGAAACATTTATTGGTCATCTGCTAAGAACCGATTGTTAATAATGAAGAAAACAGATTTGAACCCTACTGTTATATGGAGCTTACCTTCCTAGTAGCAGGAGACAGCTAATAAAGAGAAACCATAACCATGAAGAAGACACATTTTAGACTATGTTAAATGCTTTGAAGGAAATTGTGGGGTGGGGGAAGGCCACCCCAACAGGGATGATCAGTCAAACCTTCTCTGAGAAGTAATACCTGGAATTGAGACCTGAGGAGTGGAGTTATCAGAATGAGAATGGGGTGGGGGTGGGAGAGGGATTGCAAAGCTTGAGAACAAGCTCAGGTTGTTTGGGGAGCAGACAGAAGGGCCAGTGTGGCTGAAATGTAGGGAGCCAGAGGGAGTGGTAGGAAGGGAAATCAAAGGGCACCCTTGAAGCTGAGGGGAAGAGTGTGCATTTAATTCTAAGTGTAGTGGGAAGTCACTGGAGGGTTTTAAACAGCAGTATAGTATCAGGGACTTAATATTAACTGTTATTATTTATTTATTCCTGGGGATCTGAATTAAGGTGGGTGCTTGTGTGTGTGGGTGATGACTAGTATGTACTTGGCTCTCTTGAAGGGTCAGTGATGGTGAAAATTGAGGGACAGAGACCAGGTGTCTGGAGAGAACTGAAATCCCTGGCAGGGAAGGGAACTGGATGATAGGACTTCTGGGTGTCTGATGGAGTCTGAGATGGGGTGGTGGTAGTGGTTGACTCTCCTTAAGCGATAATGGGACGGGCAGTTTGGCGACTGGGTGGGCACTTGGTTGCTTGGGAGACCTGGAAATGGTAGACCAGGCTCTAGAGCCAGACTAGCTAGATTTGAATCTAAGCTGCTGGAAGCCATGTCTATAATTTGGGACAGGTCACTAGTAATCTCTCTATGCTTCAGTTCCTTTGTAAAATAGAGGTAATAATAAATACATTTTACTAGTTCCTTGGAGTTCCTGACATATTGTTGTGTGCTTATTATACCAGGTATTAGAGCCAGGGCATTCAGAACCTTAGTTCATCTCTAAATTTGGGTAAGTATAAATTCTTGAATCCTTTGGACTCTGAGGAAGTCCTAAATGAGGATTTCCAGGGGTGGGGAATAAGTCCTGGAGGATAGAGACTGGGATTCAGCCAATTTCCCAGCTATGTTACTGTCTTGGTCACGGGAAATACTGGGGGCTGAACGGTCATGTGCCCTTCATGGAGAACAGGGGCAGTGGGTGGGACTTGGGTGCTGGGCAGAGTCGAGGTGGAAAATTAGGGGGTCTTAAGGGATGGAGAATAGGCGGCTAGGCTTCTGAGCCATTTCCTGAGTGGAATCAGTGCCAGACTTAGTACCCAGAGGCTGCTCTGGGGTCCCCCACGCTAGGGTCCTGTGGAAGGATGAGAATTAGGGTAGGGAGGGTGGTAACGGGATCTCCCTCTCTGGGGCCTCCAAGGCTATGGGCTGCGCACAAGGCCTGTAGGCCGCCGCTTCCTCCCACAGGAAACCGCAGGCATTGGGCACACCCAGCCAGCAGAGAGGCGCCCACTACCCGCCCGCGCCGGGGAAAGCCCACGTGGGCAGCAGCTGGCCATCGAGGGGGCGTGGTCTTGGGCGGGGCGGTACCATGCGCCATAGGCCCCTCCCACTTCCGTCTCAGTGCGCGACCCTGTAGGCGGCAAAGCGTTTTTTGGCGGCTTCTTTGGAGGCCGTTAGGTGCGCATGCGTACTGAGCGCTTGCGAGGACCTGAAGCAGCGGTGAGCGGTCCTCTCTCTCACAACTCCCGGCTTCGGCACCGCCTTCCTGCTACTGAGTTCTCCAAATAACGTGGTCTTAATCAGCTTAAGATACGCATCTTTCGCGCCCCGTTCGAAGGACTTTGGGTTAGCTCCAAAGCCTTCCCGACGTTTCCCTCCCATGCCTTCCTCCACAGGCTCTTCCAGCTCCAACCTCTCCCTCTCGGAAACACACCGCCCGCCCCTCACAGCCCCGAGGCAGTCCCAGTTCCGTGCTTCGGTCCAGACCGTCCCGACTTCCCGCAAGCTCTCTGAGTCTGCGTGCCTTCGGATGACCCCCGGCCCCCACCAAACTTGGAAAGGAGCTTCTCTCCAGCGCCGTCTCACCAAGCACCTCGCGATTTCTGCCAATCATGCCCCTCTCCGCTCCCCGAAGCCCCGCCCTCCTCAGGTACCCTTGCCCCTCCCCTTCCCGACCCCGAAATCGGCCCTCTACAGGTATCCTTGCCCCTCCCCTCGCGTGACCCCGAAGCTCCGCCTTTTACAAGAACCTTATACCCCTTTTACAGGGGCCGGGCTCCGCCCCTAGAAGCCCTGCCCTCTGCGGTACTTTCGCCCCGCCCTTCGCCAGTCCCCGCTGCCCCCCCTTCTCCCCGCCACAGGCTCAGTCCTCGCCGGCCCTTCCTGCTCCGCTCTTTGCAGGTCTTTGCGCCCGATCCCGCTAACCCCGAAGGCCCACCCTCGCACCTTCCAGCCCGCCCCTTGTATGGCCCAAATCCGGTCCTACAAGCCCACTCCTCACCGACCGCGGCCCCACCCCTCACATCCCTCCTAGCCCTGTCCTCTCAGGACCCCTCTGCTCATCTCTTTACTGCTAAAACCCCCCAAACTTCGCTTCTGCAAGTCGGTCCGCCAGCTCCTCCCTTCTTCCCGGCTTCCCCTTCCACAGCCTCTCCTCGTGGCTTCGGTCCCCACCCCTGCTGCTGTCCTTAAGCCTCATTGGCCTCTTATCTCCCCAGTAACCACACCACAACAGTGAGCCTGGAGCATCAAGGACAGAGCAGAGACCCCAGCAGGTAGGAACCCACGGCCTGTTAGGGGTTTCTCCTTCCATAGCGACCACTTCCTCAAAGAGCCTGCTCTGGAGATCCTGAGGGTCGAGGGCACCGATGCCCTATGCGGAGTCAGAGCCTAGATAAAAGATTGAGAAGGTACGAGAGGCCTGAGAGATGCCCCTCCAACCCCTGGAGGAATTGAGACACAGAGTCCAGAACAGCTTCTGGGGTCCCCAGTTCCTAGTGCCTTGAAGTCCCTTCCCCCCTTCTCTTGCCCCTCTCTTGTTTGCTCTGTGTAAGTGTCCCTTGTGCACCCCTACAGGAGCCTGACGGGATTGTCCACAATGCCTGTGGGAGTCCATCCAGCGAGCACCCGCTCAGAGGATGGGAGTGAGGTCTTCCTGGAGGGACTCGGTAATTCATCCGTTCTATTTCAGTCACTATTTCCCTTCAGGGAGGCCAGAACTCCTCCTAGGAATTACTGAGAGGAGAAGGAAGGGAAGAGTGTTTTTTTTTTTTTTTTAAAGATTTTTATTTATTTGTGCATACAGAACTGGGGTACAGGCCAGAGGCTCAGGGGCGGTGAGAGGCTTCACCAGAGACAGAGCGGGGAACATAACAGGCAGATCAACGAAGTACACTGCTGAGGGGAGCAGCGGGCGGGTCAGGAGAGGTCTGCCACGCCATGTGGTCTCCTCCGGGGCAGGCGGGAATCGAACTCATGCGGAAGCGGCCCTAGATTCTCAGTGCTGTGCTTTAACCCGCTGCGCCACCAGGGAGGGCCGGGAAGAGTGTTTTAATAGCAGGAACAGAGTTTTCTAAAGCAGGTTGCTCCACTTCTGCACTGTTGACACTAGGATCAAAGAATTCTTGGTTGTGGGGACTTTTCTGTGCCTTGTAGGGTGCTTGGCAGCATCCCTCTCCTGTTCTCCCCATTAGATGCCAGTTGAAACTGCCCCCCACCTTGTTGATGAAAAGGTCTCCAGACATTGCCATATGCCTGTATGAGACAGATTCACCATGTCCCTGTCAGTCCCCTGAAGTGTCACCTACTGGGCTGGGGAGGTGGGAGCTGGTGGGGGCTACTGGAGAGATTCTCTGTGGTGTAAGGTCACCAGGTTCTGAGCCTTACCGCTCGGCTGAGGAGCTGGAGTTTCTAGCAGAGGCTGGTGAGTAGGAAGGGGAGGAGCTGGTTTTCTCTGGGTGTAGAAAGATGATTGGGTCTGTAAGGGCAGGTGTGGGGGAAGAAGGAAGAGAGGAGGCCAGGGTGATGGTCCAGGTGGAAGATAAGGAGGCCTGACTCTAGGGGCTCGGTTGAGAATGTGGAGGTGGGAGCAGGAAACTGAGGACTGCTGCTGGGCTTTGGGGACTGAAGTTGGGAAGGGGTGAGGGAGGGAACAAGAAGGGACCCTGGGAGTCTCAACCCTGTCCTCAACTTTCCCAAGTTAGGAAAGGGCTGGGCTCCCAGGACTGCAAGGCCCTGAAGGAGTGCCTTTTGCCAGGGAAACAGATGTGTGTTCAACCCTCAGTGGGAGAAGGCTTAGGGGGAAAACCCCTTGGGTATACAGGGCATATGGAGGGTGAAGGAAGCTTCAGGAATAAAGGAACTGACATTCAGTCAGTTAGGGAGTTGGCCAGCAGCTTAGTTGCTGTTTGTGAAGCTAAAAGGAAACCAGGATTCCTAGGACCTGGACAGGAAAAGAGGGGAGGGGGGTATTTCTGGATTGCCATTGAGTCCCTTGTTTTCTCACCCCTCAGCGGATTGGGAGCTGAGCAGATTGCAGCGACAGTGCAAAGTGATGGAGGGCGAGAGGCGGGCCTACCTCAAGGGAATCCACCAGCGCATCAACAAACAACTGTGAGCTCAGCTCATGCCTGGGTCCTGGAGCTGGGCAAGGGGGCTGGTAAAGGGGCTGGGTTGGGTCCTGGGGCTGGGCAAGAGGGCTGGTAAAGGGGCTGGATCTCTGGGGAGGGCTGGCTCACCGTGTTTAGTGATGCTGAGCTCTGTCCCCACTGGATCTCCAGTGGGGAGATCCAGCACCTGCAGGAAGAGCGAGATCTACTTCAGAAGCAGATCAGTGTGGCCCAGAGCCAGGTCAAGCGACTGCGGGACAGAGAGAAGCTGAAGAACATGGCCCACTTGCTGAAGTGCCGTACCCATGTACAGGTGGAAATTGATGAGCTGCAGGAGCAGATCAGCTCCCTGGACAAGGAGGTGGGTGTTGAGACCAGACACTGGCTCCTGCTTAGGGCCATGTGTCTTCACCACTTTGGACCTTTGTATCATCATCTGAAAGCCGGTTACTGCAAGTATCCACCTGGGAGAGCTGAATTCAAGCACTAGTGGGTGTTCAGGACTTAGTTTGACTTTATATGTCAGAAAAGGGGTGCTGGGTGGTTATGGGAAAATGGTCACCTTCTGGATTCAGTGAAGCCTATGTTAGAGTCCTTGTCCTGCCACATCAGAGCTGTGTGACCACAGGTGTCTTCACCTCTCTGGGCTCTAGTTTCTTCACCTGCCAAAAGGATCCTGCTAAGTCTAGACAGGTTTCTAATCCCATCTGCCTCCAGACCTTGTTATTTGACCTTGGAAGTAATGTGACTTTTCTAGGCCAAATTCTTTCAGGTTTTTACGACCATGACTCACTGACTGGGACTGCAGCTTCACCAAGCACAGATGCATAAAGATGTTAACACACACACATACATATCTTGGAAACAAAATTGTCACCAAGTGATACTTTGTTTTTTTGTGAGATTTGGTACTATTTTCCCTAGGATGTTTCATTAAACAAAGTTGCTTGAGTAGGTAAAATGATTTCTTGTACATGATTGGATCACAAATAGGCATTTAGTACTTACTACTTTGTTGGCTTGTATTAATTGGTTACTGTTTCTATAACAAATGACCACATACTTGATGGCCTAAAAGACTATAAACTAATTCTCTTACAGTACACGAGGACAGAGACCTGACTGGGTCAATATCAGGATGTTAGCAGAACTGTGTTCCTTCTGGGGGCTTTAGGAAAGAATCTTTTCCCTGGACTCTTCTAGCTTCTAAATCTGCCTCTAGACTCCTGGGCTCCACACTGTTTTGTCTTCTAAGCCAGCAAGGATTTGGTTAAGTTTTTCTCTTGCTGTGTAGCTCTACCCCTGCCTCTGTCATTTCTCCAGTGATTCGAACTCTCTTTCCTCCCTTTTTACTTCTAAGGACTTTCCTGATAACATTTGGCTCACCAGATAATCCAGAAACACCTTCCCATCTCCAGAGCCCCAACTTTATCACATATGCAAAGAATTTTTCATTTAAATTCACACATTCACAAGTTTCCGCCATTAGGATGTGGACTCCTCTGTGTGTGTGTGTGTGTGTGTGTGCATGCTTGGGGGTGGGGGTAGTGGTGGGAGGCATTGATACGTTTACTGCATGGTCTGTAGGTTTCTCACACTTGACTTTCAGCCATTTTGTTCAGCTGTCCATATCACCCCAAACTACCTTTGAAAGCTGCATTCTGATTCACATGGTCCAAACTTTTGGCTATTTCATGGTGGTACAGTGGGTGTTGACTGCTTCACATGGTTTTCCTTAGTATTTCCTGGAAACTCACCAGGGCAAGCCCAGAATGATGACTTTTATTATTTTGAATCCATGACTCCTTTGCCCTCTGGCCTCAAAGAAGCTACCATGCAGTAGAGTGCACGTTCTGGGCCCCAAGCAGCTGAGGGCTTCAGTCCCCCAGCTGTGTGGAACTGGATTTTGCCACCCCAAGGTGAGTTCCCATGCTGGCTCCCAAAGACTGCAGCCCTGGTGGGTGCCTTGATTGCCACTGGGAGTCGTACAGCATATCCAGTCCAGATGCCTGGCCCATGGAAACTTCTAGATAATTCATATTGTTTTAAGCCACTAAGTTTGAGGTCATTTGTTAGGCCAGTTAGATAATGAATCCAATTTCAAGTTGACATATTCCTGAAGCTGGAAATCAGCTCTCAGGAGCTGTTCAAGGGGATTCTACCAGTATTATTTATGGGATAGTTTGCTTGAGTGTTTGCATCCAACAACCTAGAAACCACTGGAAAAAAAATAGCTATATGTTGCAAAACAAATTGTATTTCATTCTGAAAAAGCAGTTACCATGGAATGTTTGTGCCCATGGGCACTTTTTTTTTTTAATTGAAAAATTTCCTAGGACAATTATTGAGTCACATACTCTTACAAGAAATCATGCAGAAACATTCCCTATGCACTTTGCCAATGCCTCCCAATGGGAACACCTGGGGTATTTTCTTTTTTACCCCTGCAACCACTAAGAACTTGGTTTCACAAAGATGTAATAACAAGGAAGGTACCATGGCCCCATCTTGTGTTGACCCCAGTGAACTACCTTGAATTTAAAGTTGGTGTGGTGTCTGATGTATGTCAGTATCTCTCTCCAAATTTAAAATAGCTCCTCTCGACCCCTGAGTTTGTGGCAGTGTCCTGGGGTGCCTCGGTGCATGTGCTAGTCCCTGGCATTTCTGGAGTAGCGTATGCAGCAGAAATTGTCAGCAGGGTTGGTTTCTTCTGAGGCTTGGGAGACAGAATCTGTTCTGAGTCTCTTGTTTCTGGTGGCTTGCTGGCTATCTTTAGCTTTCCGTGTATTTAGGTGTATAGCAGCATTACCCTGATCTCTGCCATCACCTTCATTTGGAGTTCTCTCCAGCTGTGTGTCTGTATGCAAACTGCCCCTTTTAATAAAGACACCTGTGTAGTGGATTGGGCCAATCTAAGGGTCTCATTTTCCCTTCATCACCTCCTTGAAGACTTTTTTGAAATAAGGTCATATTTTGAGATGCTGTGTATTAGCACTTACACACACACACACACACGTGTATATATATATGTATACATACATATGTATGTATGCTGGGTATTAGCACTTATATACACACATATACACACATGTATATATGTATACACACATATGTATGTATGCTGGGTATTAGCACTTATAGACACGCACACACATACATACACATGTGTGTATATATGTATATATACATATGTATGTATGGTAGGGGGAACACAATTGAACCTATAACAGCACACATTGGGAAACATGGCTTTAAGAAATTCACTAATTTAGGCTGATTCAGTGATGGGAAACCCTCGGGATTTACAATTGAGATGAAAAAAAAAATGTACAAAATGATGTAAAAAACTGTTATATTATTAGAAAAAAGAAAGAAATTTACTCATTTAGTCTGTGTATTTTGTTGAACACCTTCTCTCTCTGTCTCTCACACATACACATAAAAGAGAAAAAAAGAAATTTGTTTTTTTCAGAGCATCCTGTTTAATTGGGAGAAAGTGTACCTCAAATAAGTAGTGATGTGTACAGAAATGAGGACAGATTGAAAGCTGATTTCAAGCATTCTCAGACACAGGAACTCTAGGACAGCCAAAGCCCACTCTTGCCATCTCTCAATCTCTTGTTCTCCCCACAGGTTTCTCTATGTGGGGAGAACGATGACAGCAGAAGTCCTGGAGAGAGCTAGGAAACACCCATTCAGCTCATGCATTTCCCCACTGATTCAGGCAGACTCTGCTTGGGTCCAGTGACAATCTGTAGTTGGATTGTCCCTGGTTGGGCAGGGCAGCTTGTGGGATTTGAAGGTTGGGTAGTGACAGCAGAAGATAGAACAGATGGATGTCAGCCACACTGACACTCAGCCTTCCATTCCTCAATTTCCCCCACATTCAGCCAACAAACAGGTACCCTCTTTCCTCCAGATCCAGGAAATGGAGACCCGGATTTCTACTCAAGGTAAGGATGTCAGAAACCCAGGATTCTTCCTGGACCAGAAGGTCAAGATCCAGCGAAGGATCAAGATTCTAGAAGACCAGCTGGACAGGGTAAAGCTCAGCCTCTTGGGTCCCAACCCTGGGGTAGGGGTGAGGGAGAGCAGGAGGAAGGTGAACTGAACATAGGATCAAGTTCTGAAAATGGTGGACCTGATTCCTTGATATGGGCAGGCTTGAAATCTCTGAGGAGTTCAAGATTCTGGAGGGACAGGGGTTCTCAAAGGAAAGAGGGTTAATAGCTGGGTCCCTGAGATGGGAATAGACAGTGTTCTCAGGGTCTTCCAAAAGGTTAGTAGGCCTCAGCTGCCAAGAGGCCCCTCCTTAGCTGAGTTTGGAGGAGGGAGCTGGGCTGGACCTCAGAGGACTCATGTTCTCTCCCCCTTCCACCCTCCCAGGTCACCTGTCGCTTTGACATCCAGCTGGTTCGGAATTCGGCTCTTCGTGAGGAGCTGGACCTCCTGCGGATCGAGAGGAACCGCTATCTGAATGTGCACAGCAAGTTGCAGAAGGTCAGTGGCCCTGCAGCCAAGCATCCCCTAGCCCAGCAGCATTGGGGCAAGGACAGAGACAGTTTCACCTATGCTCTCCCCAAACCATGCACTCTATCTCCCCAACATTTGGGCCTCAAGGATGGAATCCACTGGAGCGGCAGGCTTACTTGAGCCCTGAGGGAATGAGACCTGGAGAATGTGCCGGAGGAAGTAGGCTTCTCTATGTGCAGAAACACAGAATGGCACTCAGGGAAAGCAATAAGCAGAGAGACTGCTCACATTCCAGAGGTCCCTCAGTGAGCTTTGAGGTCCTTTGAATACCTCTTCTCTCTCCCTTCCTGCTCCCTCTACCCTTATTTCTTCTTTTAATTTTAATTATTTCAAACTTGTAGAAAAGGTGCCTGCAGACCCAAAAGCACTCCTTGATCTCACTCTGCAAGATTGATTTTTTACATTTTCTCTTTCTCTGTCTCTGGACTTCCTCTTCTTACTGTAAGCCATGGGTGATCGTTGACAACTGTTCTCTTTGAGGGATCATTGCAGACATTTTGCTCCTAAGGACTTCAGGGGCCATTTCTTGAAAACACAATCCCTTTCTTACACAATCTTATCAGGAAAAGTGTTCTAATTGCAAGTGGTCTGTATTCAAGAGTCTACCTACTATCTCAAGGGCTGACCTTTATGCCTCTTAGTTCCATGTTCCTGCTGGGCTGGGCTGCTCACATATCCCATGGTGCATTGTCCTCATCACTGTGGCATTTCAGATGTCATTTGAGGGCCCCCAGTGCAGTATAACTGCTGTCTTTTCATGATTTGGTTCAGGCTGTGTGTGTCAGAAAGTGTAAGGAGGAGCTACTCTGTTGGTTATCTACATCCTGTTGGGAGGCCCATAATGTCCATTATTCCTGTCATGACTTGATCACTTGGTTTGCTAGGTTTCTCCAATGTAGAGGTTTCTTCTGTATAATGAACAAGTGGTTTGTTGACAGATGACTTGACATTAAAAATAGCCTGCTTCCTGACACCCTTTCACCCACTCAGCATCCAGTAATGATTCTCTCCATAAGGCCTTCCAATTGCCCACCTGGTCATTTCCCTACCTGTCATCTTTGCTGCCGCTGGGAGATGTGGAGGTAGAGCTTAAGAAAGAACTTCTCACTGTCTCCCCTAAAGTCCTGGATTGTCAATATGTGGTTCTGAGGTTTTACCTGATTTACAGGTTGGAATCAAAATGGTTATTGTCTAGCATGAAGTTTCCTTTTTCCCAGATTTTGCTAGAGGGTACCCCTACAAGTTGGCTTCTGTCTCCTCTTGACAGGCCCCATTATTTTTGTGAATTATTTGTGACTTTCTGGCACAGGAAGACAGTCCAGGTTATCTTGGACTTGTTTTGCCCCAAGCCCCCCCAGCCATGACTCAGAGGTAAGCTCTGGTTCTTTCTAGTGGGGAAGAGGTGTTGAGGGAGAAGACTCAGGCATGAGAGTTCTGGAGTGACATTGCTCACAGTTTCTTTCTCTGGAGAGATCCAGGAAATGCTTCACTGTTTTACAGTCATGAGTTCATGGAGATACCTTCCTCTACAATTCAGGGTTACCAGACTATTCCCGAACATTCCCCTCTGCATCTTTCTCTCCTTGGCTCCCAACAGCTTCAATATATTTTGCCTTAGTCCTCCCTTATACACAGAGGAATCAGAATGAGCACAACTGTACCCCTTCACCCCAACCCAAGACGTGGAGTTTGAGATTTGTTGGTGCTATGTTTTATCTTCTGAGGCTAGTATCTTTCTAGCCTTGTCTCTTCAAATGATTGTATTCATAAACCACTTGGATTTGTTCTTCTTATTATTTTTTTATCTTCTTTGTGGTTTAGTTCTTTGAAATAGTTAGGTTCATTTGCTTTGGTGTGCATTCAGTTTAAGTTCTCTCCTCTGTATTGCTTGTAATTTTCTTCAGGGATATGTAAACTATTAGCAGTGTCTCCAAATCAAAACAACTCCAGAAGGCACCCTAGAGAGACATCATGTCCTCACCAGTCTCTTCCATTTTACTTCTCAGAGGTCCCTGCTGTGGTGTCTGGTTATCTTTTTGCCAAAGTAAATGTGTGTGCATGCATGTATGTATGTTTGCACTCACGTGTGTATCATGTTAATAGGGTGTTCATGTGCACACAGTTAATACATATATATACATGTGTATAAATATAGACTCTATAGATACACACACATATATAATAAAATATATGTATTTTTATTTTTTTTCCTGGAAGAAGCTTTTTAGTCCGTATTACTTGCAAAGCCATTTCCCTGGAACTAGAAACATTAGTGAATTCACAATGATAAAATCCACACTTATTTCTGACATTGAGCAGAAATTCAGTTGGGCTGGGTTAGGAGAATTCTGGGTGGATGGTTGGGGAAGGGCCGATAAGCACTTACCCCACAGCTCCCCCTGGCCACTTTCACTCCATACCTTTTCATATCGCCTCCACTGGCTGTCCAGAATCAGCCAGGCGTGCATTTCTGGGGCCCTGGTTGTGAGCCGAGGTCTGTCTGGTTTTCTCTGCAGGAAGTCCATCTCTTGCACCAGATGCTTGGCAAGGTCATGGTCTCTTCTACTGCAGCCTATGCCGTCAGGTAAGTGCCTCAGCGGCTTCTTGGGTGGCCTTTGGATTATTCTAGTGCACTCACTTTTCCTGAGGCATTGGTGGAAGGTTCTGAATTCCAGACACAGACCATCACAACCTGTATTTTCATGGGTAAGGTGGCCCTTACTATCTCTCCACCACTGACCTCCTGCTCCTTGTGTGTATGGCTCTCTGCTTTTGTCTGTGGAGATGTACAGAGAACAGGTGAGACAGGTCCGGGAGCCCAGGGCTCTGTGAGTGGGAGTAAAGTGTGCTTATCAGTACTGGTCAAGAGGGACAGACTCTCAGGCCATCCTCAGATGAAGAAACTGTTTTCTGGAACAAAGAAGCTATGCCTTGGCTTCTTGCTCTCGGGGCTCCATGCTCCCACTCTGTCTCACTCCATACTGCTGCTTTCTTAGCTTCAGCCCTGTTCTCTTGCATCAGGTGGTTCCTTTCCTTCCTGTAGTTTCTTGTTTCTATCACATAACTTCTGTTTACTCAAGGTTTATGAGTCCTCCAGATCTCAGCTGCAGCCCAGATCTCCCTCCTACCTGTTCTCCCTCTTCCCCTCCCTCCCTTCAATCCTTTCCAAACTTCCCTGTCAGTTAAAACACACACCAAAAACCCAATGTTTAAAAGTATCCAATTCAGTGGCATTTTGTACATCCAAAATGTTGTGCACTCTCATCCGGTCTACATCCAGACCCCTTCCCTCACCCTGGCAGGAAGCCTGCACTCCCTCCCGCCCCGCAACTCAGTGGTGACAGCCCAGTCTCCTTCCCGTCTCTCAGGGCTCACCTGCTCCAGACATTTCATATGATGGAATCAGACACAATGGGACTGTGTCTGGCTTTATTCATTTGGCATCATGCTTTCAAGGTTTATCCTCAAGGCCCCCTCCATTGGGCTTCTTTTCTTTTTATTTATTTTTTAAAAAGATTTAGTTATTTAAGCATACAAAAACTGGAGTACAGGCCAGAAGTGTGGGGGGTAAGAGGAGTCATCAGAGACAGAGTGGGGAGCAGAACAAGTGGATCTACTGAAATCCAACTGCTGAGGGGAGCAGTGGGGAGACAGGAGAGGTCTGCTGTGCCCTGTGGGTCATTCCCTGGCCGGGATTGAACTCATGCCCGGTGGCTGGTAATAGATTGATAGCAGTGAGACTTTAACCCCTGCACCACCATGGAGGCCCTTTTGGGGCCTATTAGGGCCTCCAAGCCTATCAGGGCTTTGATGGCAGATGCTATAAATTCTTCCCTTTGGGGACTGAGACCCCCTTAGTGTTTGGACTGTGCACAGCAGCTTCTGCTCATGCATGGCCTTGGCTTTCTCCCAACCTGGGCTTCCTTACCTGGCTTGTGGGCCTGCCTGCGTGGTCAGGATCAGCCTCTGCCCACACTCCTCAGTGGGTGGCAATGGATGCCGAGGGCACGCAGTGGGTGGGGGCACACGAGTGATGCATCAGGTCAGACCAGCTGCAGTCTCCAGTGCTTCCTTGCGGGTGACTGGGGCCGGCCACTGCCCCTCTGAGCACCTTCCTTTCCACCACTGTGATGTGGCAGCCAGCATGGTATCTTCCTTACTGGCCACTGTGGAGATTCATGGCTTGTGGTTGTGGGGTGTCCCCTGAGGGTCTGGTGCTCAGGAAGTTGTTGAGTTCCCTCTTCCTGTCCTTTGGTTGGTGTGGAGCCAGAGGCACAGAAAGACGAGTCCTATTCTCTGGGGGCGGCCCCAGACGCCAGGGGTGGGAGCTGGGGCTGGAGGCTGCTGGGGAAGCTTTCCACCAGGACTGACCTTAGCAAGCTTTGGAGGAATTGGAATAGAACAAGATGCTGGTGTTCTGTTGATGGCTGCCGAGGTTGGCAGAGTTGTGGAGGTATGAACTAGAAGGCTCCATGGCTACAAGACAGCGAGCCCCAAACCAGTAAGCCCCAAAAGATGAGAAGGAATTCATTTTCAGTAATACCATTGTGATGAATTGGATCGCCAGGTTCAGGGGTCTCTGGACTTATAGGGACCACACCGGCTTATAAATTGAATCTTCAGCTAAGCTGTTCAGTGAGTGAGGCTTCTAGGGAAACCCCTAGAATACACTTCCATTTTGGAGCATAAGCCCTAAGGGGACCCCACCGCCATTTTGCCTCCTGCTCTCCTGTTCCTGTTCCCACACAATAATGCGTAGGTTTCCGATGCCCGGCCGAGCACATTGTGGCAGCATGCCCTTGGGGGTACCAGCCCTGAGTGGGCCCTGACTCACCCCGTAACCCCTTGCGCATCCACCTCTAGGAGCCTACTCAGACTTCTGCCTTTTGTGACCTGATTTTGCCTCATGCCGGGGGCGCAGGCTGATCCCCCCTACTCACACCACCCCAGGTCCACCCCACCTATCCCTGGGATCCCAGGTCCACCCTGATCCAACCTGCAATCTCCCTGACCCTGGGCTGACCCCTCCTCCTCTGCGCCTCAGGGAGGAGGCCAAGACCAAGATGGGGATGCTGCGGGAGAGGGCGGACAAGGAGGTGACCCAGAACGAGACGGAGGGGCAGATCCTGCAGCGCAGCATCGCGCACCTGGAGCAGCTGCACTGCTTCCTCAAGCTCAAGAACAATGAGCGGCAGCCAGATGCGGCTGTCCTGGAGAAGCGTCAGAGGCAAGGTGAGCTGCCGCCCGAGGGCTTGGGCACCACCTGGGCAGCAGCCACCAGGGGCTGGAGCTGGAGGGCCTCCAGGCCTGGGGAGCAGCGGCCCCTGTGTCGCCCCTCTGGGCCTCCCTGGCTGCCCTGGAGGCCCACCGCGTTGTCCCCCGCCCCCCAGCCCAAGAGGTGGCCCAGGGTCTCCGAAAGACCTCCCAGGAGAGGCTGGTGCTGCGCTACGAGGACACGCTGAACAAACTGTCCCAGCTGACAGGGGAGAGTGACCTGGACCTGCTGGTGGACAAGTACCTGGAGAGTGAGGACCCGGGCTGCAGTGCACGGTGGCGAGAGGCCAGGCCTGATCCCCAGAACCCCTAGTCCAGTGCAGAGTGGGCTGGGTCATGGTCCCTGAGGCGCTCTGCTTTTCCCTGGGGTCCCAGCCACCTTCCTCGGCCTGGGAAGGGCTACCTTGCCTCTGCCGGCCCTCTCCCTCCCCTCTCTCCCCACCCTAGTGTGCATGGTCCCCCCCACCCCATCTCTCGCCATCCCCGTCTTGGGCCGGTGTCCCTTCTTTCTGCGTTGCTTGCTCTCGGCTCTGTGCCTCTCTGTCCTCCCCTAGTATCCGAGGGTGTCTCCCAGCAAACCCATACTCCTGCTGACTCCTCTGCCTTTCGTGCACTGGTCATGCTTCAAGTCGTGTCTCCTCTGTCCCTGTTGCGCTCTGTCTCCTGGTGTGCCAGCTCTTCGGTTCTCTTTCCCCACTTCTCCCACTTTGTCCACCTCACTTGCTGTTTCCGCCTCTTGGGGTCTCAGGATTTCTGTGACTTCCTCTTTGTCCCGCTCACTCACGCTGACTCTCCTCTTTCTGTGCCGTCTTTGTCTGCCTACAGCTCTCCAACCTGGTCTCCTTCTGTCTTGGTGCTGTCTCTCGCAACGTGTCTGTCTTCCTGTGTGTCTCTCTGGCTGTTTTTCTCTTGGTCTCGGGCTCTCTGGACCCGGCCTCTTGTTGCTGCAGGGGAGGAGCGCAACTTCACAGAATTCAACTTCATCAACGAGCAGAACTCCAACCTGGAATACCTGCGGGAGGAGATCAAGGAGGTGAGTGAGACCCCTGCCCCACCCCCGCCAGCATCACGTCTCCCCTCCGCCATGGAGCTGCACCTTAGCGTGTTCTGCCCCGCCCCCTGCCTGACAGATCCGGGAGGCACTGGTGAGGGGGCGTGCAGACAAGGACAAGAGGCGTCTGCTCCAAGAGCAGCGTGAGTTAGAAATGCAGCAGCAGGCAGACAAGGTGCGTGAGGAGGCCAGGAACATCGAGACTCACTTTCAGGACGTTCGGGGAAAGCTGGAGAAGCTCAAGGCTGGTAAATGCCCCAACTTCTTTATCTGGGAGGCTTCGGTGAGCACAGAGCCGGCCCCGGCAGGCTTTTCACCGAAGACCTGGCGCAGCGGCTGTCAGCCCATCCTGCGTCCATCTGCCCATGCCCATGGCCATCCCACAGCACCCGCTGCATCCGTCCAGTTTCATCCATCTGTCTGTCATCCATCCAGTTTCATCCATCTGTCTGTCATCCGTCCAGTTTCATCCATCTATCATGCATCCGTCCACCCATCCTCTCCTCCACGTGTCCACTCTGCGCCTACCCCCTACCCTCCCCACCCACCTCCCACACATCTGCCCGTCCTTCCTGTGCAGAGTGCTCAAGAACGAGGCTGCCTCAGCTCCGTCATGTGCAGACGCTGGTGTGTGGTCTTCTCTCTGAGGCCCTCTGGAAATGGGGTGGTGACACACGGGCAGGCTGTCCTGAGAATTACATGGGGTGATGGACAGAACCTCATGGTGGAGAGAGTGAGCCCAGGTGGTCCCCGGAGAGCCGATGGGTGGCGGGACAAATCCTCCTCCCTCTGTTCTGTGACCGTGGAGCTGGATGTGGGGGTGGGAGGAGCCAGGGAGAGACCGACACAGGCACCAGGGCCTGGAGGACACCGTGGCCCTGGGGGCCCCGACTCGGTGTGGAGCGCACAGCCATCATTGGTGGAGCTCAGTGCGGAATGAAGACGTGAGGCCCTTGCTAAAGCAGTGCCAGGAATTTAGAGGTGGCAACAGCAGAGCCTCAGAGCACCTGGGGTCCCTGCTGAGCTCAGGGGCTGTTGCACTCATGAAACCTGCTCTCTTGGGGTCTCAGGAAAGGTTTCCTGGAAGGGCTTTTGAGGCTGATTTTGAAGGATATGTTTAATTGAGACCCTCGGGTGAGGAGGCTGCTCCCCAAAGGTGGGGCTGAGGAGGTGCATTTAGGGAGCCTAGGTTCTTTGTGTAGCGAGGGGAAAGCTTGGTGTGAAGGGGGTGGGAGAAGCAGATCCTGCAGGGAGGAGAGGCAGAGGCATGAGGTGCACAGGAGCTGTGGGAGGGTTGTGAGCTGAGTAGCCAGGGATTAGGAGCATGGTGAGGAGGGGATGGAGCAGAGCCTTTGAGTTGAAGGACTGTAGGTGGTGTGGGATTGGGTGCACCAGAGTCTGGTCTGGCAGACAGAGTGGGCTTGGGGGTGCCCCGGCTCACAGTGTGAGGGGTCTGCTGGTCTGTTCAGGGAGGAATCCCAGGAGGAAAGTGCGTATGTGAATCTGGTGCTCAGGTGGAGGAGGCGTGGGGGCAGGGCAGGGTGCCCTATGGCTGGGTGCTGAGTTGGGTCAAGGTTCTGGTGCCTTCTTACTTCTCGAGGGCTGTTTGCTAACTAAACACAACCAGACTGCGCTGGGCTGGCGAGCAGAGTGATCAGAGACCGTGACTGCTGGGCCGGCTAAGGGCCGGCAGCGGTCATGTCGCTGTGCGTAGCCAGGCCTGACGTTAGTAGCACCAGGGGAGCAACCTGGAAGCAGCCCCGCGTCTCCTCCCTCGGGCTGGGTGGAAGTTGGGCATTTCCAAGCTGGGAAGAAACCCAGGTGGAGGCGCGTTTTTCAGATTTTCCTCCAACTTACCCCACTTTTTACCTGCTCGGGTCCATATCTTCAACAGACACACAGCAGTCCCTCCCACTTCCAGCCACCCCAGCAGTGTCGGAGCAAGTCTGCTGCCACCCTGTCTCCCACCAGCTTGCTGTCCTCTTTTATAAAGAGGGCTGTGGCCGCTAGGTGGCTGTGGGGGTGGGCACCTTTCCATGACAGCCTGCCTACCCCCTAACTCCAGACATCCAGAAGCTCTTCACCACGGCCCAGTGTGACAGCAGCAGCATCAAGGATCTCCTGGGGATCAAGAACTTCATGCGAGACCGAGACATCACCCTCTTCCTGGGCCTCATTGAGAAACGGCTGGTGGATCTCCTCACGGTGCAGGCCTTCCTTGACACCCAGGTCTGCAGTCTGGGGCCACCCGAGCCTCCGAGAGCTGGACCTGAGTTGGGTCAAGCCTGGGGCGTGGGTCAGAGCTGATGCTGACTTCCCCACCCTACAGAGCTACAGCCCTGAGAAACTGGATCGGGCGGCCCTCCTGGTGCTGGGCCAGGACATCGAGGATGTGCCCAAGAAGATGGCCCATCCACGGCCCCCAAGCTACCTGTGAGGCCTAGGGGAGAAGGGAGAAGGGAGAGGAGAGGGGGGGAGCCCACGGGGCCAGAGAGGACAAATGGGCTGCAGGGCTTGGGAGCCAGAGGGTGGGTGTGGCCCTGGGGGAAGCAGATGGTGTCGTGGGTGCTTTGCAGGAGCGCAAGGGGACGGTGTGGGATGATTGAGGGAGGAGTTGTCCACATTTTTTGGGTGGAGAGCGAAGCAGTCCCTGCTTGTCCCCCACTTCAGGGAGGAACACCCTGGGTTTGAAGCCAAAGATGACTATCCCTTGAGCAAGAAGGAGCTGCTGGGACAAGTGGAGAAGGCGGTGAGTATGGGGCAGTGGGGCTCACAACAGGGACCCCTGCTCGCCTGGGGGGCCCTAACTCATCTCTTTCCCTCTCCTGCCAAGCTGGAGGCCCGGGAGCAGCATAAGGAGCTGACTGAGAACTTGAAGAAGGGGGACAGCACCCCAAGCCTCACTGGTAGCCGCCTGGGCTCAGGCACACCCATGCTGGGCACCAGGAACCCCAGTATTATCCCCGGGTCCATCTTGAGCCACAGGACTAGCATCATGCTGGCGTCCAGTGGAGGCCATGCCTCCAGCTCCAATATTGGCCATGTCACCTTTGATGACCAAAATGGCAGGCCCGTGTCCAGCCATGCCTCCGTGGGGGGCCATGTGACCTTCAGAGCCCCCAACTCTAGTAGCAACCTGGGCTCTACTGGATACATGGAGTCCAGCAGAGGCCAGGAAAGCCTTGCTGCCCCGGAGAGTAGAGGTGCAGGGTCAGAATCAAGTGGAGGCCCAGAGTCTAGCAAGGGTCCCACCTCTAGCACCGCCCCGGGCTCCACCACCAGCAAGGACTCCCAGAGCAAGTAGCAGCCCTGGCCCTGGCCTGGCTTGGCGGGGCCCTGCTTGTCTCTCCATCCCCCTCCTTCCCCAGCGGTTCCGTTTCTTTCCCAGTTCCGGCCTCTTTGGGCCCTGCATGTGCCTTCAGCTCCCGTCCCTGGTGTCCCGGGACTGTCATCGCCTCTCATTTCTGCCTCCCTGTCTCCTGCTCTCTTGGTTTCCTGTTCAGTGGGCGGAACATGCTCTCCCAGGCTCTGTTCTCCCCTCTCCAGCTGCGCCCACCTCTTGCTTCCCTCCTGACTCCCTGTCCTCACCTCCACCTCCAGACTCTTCCTGCACCTCATGCCCCTATCCCTGTAGCGCCTCGCTCTTTGTGGACCCCCAACCTCCCCACTACTGACCAGTGTCAGGGTCAGCCTGAGTGTGACCTAAGGAAATAAGTCAGAACCTGGCTTTGGCCCCCACCTAGTGATGAGCACCTATTCGAGAGAGTAAGCCTTAAACATGGCTGTTTCCTCTACCTCCAGCCTCAGGGAAAATGAATGATCCTGTCCCCTCCCTCCCATTCAGGCTCTTGTTTTCTGGAGAACTGTACTTTTCAGGCTCCTTGATAGCTGTGAACTGGATGGGTCAGGATAGATTGCATTATGCTGCAGTGACAAATGCCCCAGGATTAATTCCTTGCCATTCTTACTGGTTTCTTGCTGGTCAGCTAAGGACTCTGCTCACCACTAGTCCTGTGACAGCCCAGCCTGACAGCCAAGGCTGGAGAGTTTGTATTTCCCCTCTCCCACCATCCCTATGTGCCTTTCTCCCACCCCCCTTCACCCCAGAACTCCCACATTGTTTATTAACATCTGCTAGTTTTTGTATTTTGCTTTGTCAAGTTGTTTGCTATGTGAATGGAGTGTTGCCCCTCTGCAACGACGAAATGGCGATGCCAGGGGGTGCTGAAAGCCTGGGCCTGCACACTGTGCACATTCCTTCTCTTCCCGTTGCTGGCCAGAGCGGTCATCTGACCAAGCCTGCCCAAGAGGCAAGCTTTGCACATGTCTGCGAGGAGGAGGGCAGGAGTATTTGTGCCTGGCCCCGGTCAGACATGAGGCACATCTGCACTTACCTGTTGTGGGAGGGAGAGGGGCCCGACCTGTCACTGAGCGCTGCCTCCTGGTGCTTGAAGCCAACCACGGTAAGACAGGTAATCCAGCATCTACCTTCCTAGTCCAGGCAGGTAGTGTGCTGAACTTCATTCCCCATAAAGGGGGCTGATATATACAAACTTCAAGGGTTTTTTTGTCTTTTTTTTTTAATGTGAGAAAGATGAACTGATAAGAGCAGAGCCTTAGGACGTGCAGAGCACACTGGGTGTATAATGATGACTAGGAGGATGGCAGCAATGAAAAGGAACATGTTGTTTTTTCACCTGTCAGAGAACCAAGTCTTCCTATCTGCTTATCTGACCCCAGCGTCTGGTGAGGCCTACTCAGTGCTTTGCTGGTAAATGTCCAACAACTGACTTTTCAGGGGAAAAAAAATCCTGTTACCATAGCATTTGCCTGTTTCTGTGATGATTACAGCAAATGTTGTGAATTTTTTTAAGCTTTATTTTATTTATACATACAAGAACTGGGGCATAGGCCAGAGGTGGGGTGGGGTGAGAAGATTCACTAGAGACAGAGTGAGAAGCAGAACAGGCAGATCCACTGAAACACACTGCTGAGGGGAGCTGCAGGGAGACAGGAGAGGTCTGCTGCGCTCTGTGGGTCACTCCCTGGCTGGAGAGCAAACTCATGCTGCAGTGTCCGCTAATAGCTTCATAGTGCTGAGACTTAAGCCCTGTGCCACCAGGGAGGCCCAACTGATGCGAACTTAACGTGGAATTGGGACAGGAAGCACAGTCAGACCTGGGGGGTCCGTCCCTGCCTCCTCCAGTGCCTTATCGCCAGCTACTGCTCCTCCAGACCCTCCCCTCCTGTTACTCCCATAAGAAACCCCCCCAAAGTGAAACATAACTCCTTACATTTTCAAAAAGATACAAAACCTTTTAAAAATCAAAGTGGCCTGAAAATTTTAATAGCAAAAAAAAGCCTTGGTTTCCAACAGGTAAAGCTAACCACTCAACAATTTTATATCTTTTATAAGAGAAAGAACAGAAAAAGCTGTCTGCTTGGTGCCCATGTGAAATCCTGATCTAAAAATAAAGCAGTAGCTTTATTTACCGGAAGCAGTAGCTGGAGATCGGGCGCAGAAAGCAGGACACGCTCTTGTTGATGCCATGGACAGTCAGACTGTACAGGGCCCCCCAAAAGTTGTAAATGCTGTGATTGAAGCCTTCCAGAACTTTCAGGTGGGATGTCATGACCTTGAGGAGGCTAACCAGGTACTTCACCTCACTGGCTTTGTACTATAACAAAGCAATCCTCTCCCAAAGAGACCTGTATTAAATGCCTTTATTTAAATTCATGTAGAGACAGAGAAACCTAAGATCAGTGCATACATCAGGAACACAACTGGGCAAAAGCTTCAGAGGGAGGAGGAAAGAAGAGGGAACAATTGGCAAAGCAAAGGCACATTTATTTCTCTGTGTGGTGGGATCTGAGGGTGTGTGGAGGACATTCTGGTCTAGATGCCCATCTTCTGACTTCACACAGGGAACCACTGAAAGAGAGTGGGTACAGGGCAGAAGGAATGCACACCTCCTGCAGAAACTCTGGAGGAAGGTGGGTTGCTAGAATATTCTTTTCTGAAGAGGCTTAGGGTCAGAGAATTTCAGAAGTTGTCCATTTGCATGTCAATGGTCAGAGGATGGTTTGTTTATTGCTATGCTTTCTGATGTCCTCTGTCCACCCCAGCTAGGCCCTAGAAATTAAATATCTATGTGGCTTGAAGACAGCCTTCCTGGATTAAAAGCTTTTCCTTCCAATATGAATTCCCAAACAAGCTTAACACTTTCTATCATAAGTTGAAAGTTGTCACCTCAAAGAAATTTAGTGTGGAGCATATAAAACACCTCGGCAGTGTATGAGACCATCGGAAACACCATTGGCTTTGGTATCTGAGAGAATATAGGCCTGGGCTATTTGATAGGGGATCTACTAGCCACACATGGCTACTTAAAGGTAATTAAAGTAAGGAGAAATGTTTAAATAAGTGGAAACTCAGGCCGTGTTTCAAGTGTTCAGTAGCCATTGGTGGCTCATGTCTTCCATATAGGGCATCACAGACACAGAACACTTTCATCATTTTGAAAATTCTACTGGGCATCATTTTCAAAATTCATCATTTTGATAATCATTACTCTAGATTTTAATCTTGGTTCCTGTTTATAGAGTTATTGGGTGTTATTTAAGTCTTCAATGTGCTACTTTTTTTTTTTTTTTAAGATTTATTTAGGTACAAAAGGGCTGGCATACAGGCCAGAGGTGACAGACAGACAGAGTAGGGAGCACAATAGGCAGATGTACTGGAAAACACTGCTGAAGGGAGCAGCAGGGAGACAGGAGAGGTCTGCTGCACCATGTGGGTCAGCTCCCTGGCCAGGGATTGAACTCGCGCTGCAGTGGCTGTGAGCAGCTTCATAGTTCTGAGCTTTAACCCATTGTACCACCAGGAAGGGCCCTGTGATAACTTTCTTAACCCATCAGTAAGAACAGATGACATCGAATTCATAGAATTTATAATGATGAATAAAGTTTCTAGAGTAAGGTCTCACGTAATAATAAAAGTCTCAAAAAAAAAAAAGAATTACTTGTTCTCATTTCATGAGCAAATATTGAGATAGGGGATAGTCATAGCAAAATCATTAAGTTCTACTCTGTCTTGTTACCTTCCTCAAGGTAGTTCAATAAATTTTGATAAATTTATCAATAAAATTTGATACACTCTCCAAAGACTGTGTTCCAGTAAAAACCCTTAGCAATTCATTAATAAATCAGGCAAAATACTGATACATGACTGAACATTGCTTTAACCATGGGAACATGGAGACCAAAATTCACTTAAGAACTAAAAGAATTTTTCTCAGTGGGGAAAGAAATCCAGCTATTGGGATAAGGGTGAAAAATGTCTTTTCAAGATGCAGTGCAACAGCATGGAATGAACAAGAACCTCCGAATTAATCCGTGGGTACTTTCCCTACTAATAAAATTTAGAAAGAATCCATGTGAAATGGATTCTAATCAACATCATGGGGACCAGTTGTCTGGAAAGGAAGATAACACTAAATGGGTTCAGCTCCACGATGATGTATTGATATATTCCACTAACAACTTGATAGAATATATTATCTGAAGTAGGAACAATTTATTTCTCAACATTCTATCTTGTTGCATGAACGAAACAGTTAAGAGAAGATATAAAGTGTCACTGATTCTAATGACATTTTTTACTGGAATAGTAATTTCTTGCGTGTTTGCTTTGAAATGTCCATATTCTTTGGGGCTCAGATATTCACTCTGCTTTGAATCAGGACAAAATTCTGGATGTTTCTTGCTAGATGTGAAACAGACCTAAGAGAAAAGTTCTTACTCGGTGACAGCAATGCACATGGTGACAGCCAGTCCATTCTTATGATTGAAGAGAGCCACTGCTCTTTTGCCTTCATAGAGAGGTCTGGATTCCAGGGACAGGTGTTCAGAGGCAGTGGAAGGACACTACTCAGAGCAGTCATCAAAGAATGAACTTATGACACTTTAAACACCATCAGGACTCATCACAGGTTAGGCAGTGTGTCCTATACACCTGTCTCCCTAAAATATATCAGATTTCTTTAGAGCCCATTTCAAGGGAAAGTAAAGAAAGGAAAATGTTTGCTTCACTTCCAGTTTTTTATGCTGATGAACTTTTCTAAGTTCCAGTATTTGCTAAATATTCCTGGAAAGATGTTCACATCACAGCCACTCCTTTAAGCTTCCTATGTCCTTAAGACCTTGTTTTACTTGTTTGTTTATTTTAGATTAAAAATTAGATCTAAAATTTCCTGGTAGCTATTCTGTTTTATCAGGGGTAGGCTACCACCATAGCCTAAAAACATATCATAGTGAAGAATTTCTTCCTAGCTATGATCTGAGGGACATTCAGAATGAACATTGATTACATTTTGTGCATTCGTCCACCTTTTGTGAGTACATTATACTCACCAGTGATTGGGAAGGCAGACAATGTGTGAGTGGAAGAGAGCAAATCAGGTGCAATGTCTGTTCTCACATAGCCATTCTTTTGTTGGGAGAAGAAAAAAAGTTGGTGTTAAAAGTAAGACGAGTTGGTATCCATTGGCTATATGCTTTACTTGAAAATGGAGTATGAAGAGGTAAACACGAGTGGCATTTGTGAGGTGTCAGATGGGGTGTTATGGCAGGCCTTTCTGAGTAGGTAACATGGGAGAGACTTATGAAGAATTAAGGGGATGAATATCCATAGGTGTCAAATGAACATTCCAGAAAGTGGGGTCAGCATGTGCAAAGGCTTTGAGAATTGAGGACAAATCAGAAGTCCATGTGACTGAGGTGGAATGTGAGGCTAGAAATGGTATTAATGAGTGGCCAGAGAAAACGCAGAGGAAACTCCAGGTGGGGTGACTTTTGTAGTCATTAGCATGGTTAAGTTTAGTAACAATGCTGGAATGTTTCAACTGTACATGTGAAAACACTGAAACTGAGAATGGTCACATGATGTGTAAGGTTCCTCTACTAATAAATGATAAATTCTAGAACTCTGCTCTCTAGGATGGTGACACTTAACATCGCAACCACTGAGCATTTGAAACGTGGGAGTAGAATTGAGCTACCCTGGAGGTGTAGAGTCAAGGTGAGGTTTTGGAGGCCTGAAATAGCACACTGATAATTTTATTATACTGACTATGTTGAGTGATAATTTTTCGGGAAGGACTGGGTGAAATCAAGTATTAAAATTGTTTTTACCACGAATGGTAAAGCAATAAAATTTTTATTAAAAGTTCATTTTTAAATATCTTTTTCTTTTTACTCCTTGTCGTATAGCTGCCAGAAGCATTAATGCTACATGTGTACCCTGTGTACTGGGCATTGGACAGACAGAGCTATAGAGTATAAGTTCAGTCATATCTGGCACAGAATATGTGGTTTTACTGTACCCTCCTTGACTTCAGGTGGTTACTTATCTTATTTTCTAGAAAACATTCCAAGTTTCTAGAAAGTTTCCAAATTGCATAATTTTTTAAATCTTTTGGCCACACAGGCTATCCTTAAATGTTTATTTAGCAGGCTGATCTTAAAAACAAGAAAAATGATACCATTTTTATGTCAAATTAAAGCATGTTCTAATTTTCATCCTGCTAGCCAAATAGATCATTCTGTCGAGATCTATATCAGGAACATTTATTGAATTATATTTTATAATAAAATATTTTTAAATGAAATATGCTTGCTTAATTTAAATATATTTTGTTTAAATATATACATATATAGCTATATAAAATATTTGTATTTTATAATTTCAATTATTGTATTGCTAGACAGCATAACACAGGTATACATTTAAAAAAACTTTTAAAATAATATAATAGTTTATTTTTACATCATTTTGTGCATTTTTCCATCTCAGTTGTAATCCCCTTGGGTTCCTATCACCAAATCA